AGCGCTACCGGCTTCACGGTTTGCCGGGCAGCCTCCAGACCCTGCGCCCCCGGCTGGGCGCTTCCCCTCCCGGGCTCCAGCTGCACTGGGGAAGCGCCGGCTGGGGGCGCAGGGTCTGAGGGCTGCCCGGCAAACCCTGAAGCCGGTAGCACTGGGGCAGCCCTTTCCCCCTGGCTGGGAGTGGAAGGGAGGAGGGGGCGGAGTTAGGGTGGAGAAGGGGCGGAGTTGGGGCGGGGCTGGGGGTGGGGAAATGGGCGGGGCCAGGGCCCGTGGAGGGTCCTCTTTTTTTATTTATGAGATATGGTAACCCTATCTAAACGCCTCCTCTCTGATTCCTCTCACATCAGTGGATTACTCCTGATTTACATTGCTGTGAAAGGAGAAACAGGGCCCATTGCAATAAATAAATACAGATGGTTATTAAAGGTGGTAGGAGGAGGTCAGGAAATGGTTTTGATTTACTTTATTCTGTGTCACCCCCGGCATGCCAGTGTGCTCCAAGTCCTGTGTCACTGGTGTTCTGGCCTGTTCCAAGGGAACGGAGGCTCCAGGCGGCAAGGGCTGAGCTTGGGGTCCAATTCACTACAGTAACTCATTTAACGTTGTCCCACTTAACGTTGTTTCAATGTTACGTCCCTGCTCAATTAGGGAACATGCTCATTTAAAGTTGTGCATGCTTATAACATTGTTTGGCTGCCTGCTTGCAACATTCTGTGGAAGAGCAGCGACTTTACAAGGGAGCATTGCACAAGTTCTGCTTCTCCGCCTCCTCCCCCTCCCTTCCAGCGCTTCCCCCACCACCAAACAGCTGTTTGGCGGCACTTAGGACTTTCTGGGAGGGAGGGGGAGGAATGGAGATGCAGGACTTCCCCACTCCTGCCCCTCCCTCCTAGAAAGTCCTAAGCGCGAAGTGCTGGGAGGGAGGAGCAGGAGTGGGGAAGCGCTGTGTCTCTGCTCCTCTCCCTCCCTCCCAGAAAGTCCTAAGCAACGCCAAACAGCAGTTTAGCAGCTCTTAGGATTTTCTGGCAGGGAGGGGGAGGAGTGGAGACGCGGGGCTTCCCTGCTCCTCCCCCTCCCTCCCAGCACTTTGGGCTTAGGACTTTCTGGGAGGGATGGGGAGGAGCGGGGAAGCCCTGCGTCTCCGCTCCTCCCCACCCTCACTCCATCCCAGAAAATCCTAAGCACCACCAAACAGCTGTTTAGCAGCGCTTAGGATTTTCTGGGAGGGAGGGGGAGGAGTGGAGATGCGGGGCTTCCCCACTCCTGCACCTCCCTCCCAGCACTTCGCGCTTAGGACTTTCTGGGAGGGAGGGGCAGGAGCAGGAAGGGTGCTTAGGACTTTGGGGGGGAGGGATGTGGAGTGGGGGTGGGAAGAGGTGGGCCTGGAGTGCAGCGGGGACAGGAAGAGGCGGACCTGGAGCATTCCCGGCAAAATCTGAGCCTGTTCTCCGGGAAAGCTGCCGCTGCTGCTGCAAAGATGCTTCCTAGCGTCCTTGCCTGCAGTGGGCTGTGCCTGTGTGGGGTAAGCCAGGGGCACTTCCCAACCACAGTACAGTACAGTATAAAGTATAATGCCTTTTGTCTGCCCCCAAAAAATTTCCTTGGAACATAACCCCCCGCATTTACATTAAATCTTATGGACAACTGGATTCGTTTAACATTGTTTCACTTAAAGTTGCATTTTTCAGGAACATAACTACAACGTTAAGTGAGGAGTTACTGTACTTTGTTTCTAACAATGGGGCTAGATTTCAGAGGAGTTAGAGAATTTATCCAGATAGGAGGTGGGGGAGGCAATTAAGCCCTTAGTCGTGCTTACCTGTCTCAAGGTCCCACTGCCACAATATGCACTTAGGAACCCTTGGCCATAGGGACTATTGACTAGTTAGCACAGTCAAATAATGCAGCCAGATGCAATGTTAACCAGTGCAATGTACTCCTGCTCTGACCTGCCAAGGTCTACTCTACTGCTCCCATTACAGTAGAATCCAATCTTTATGTTTTAAATTTTATTAAGTCTGGCAAATGGAATGAGTTCCCTTTAGCGAGTACACCTTGTTCTTATACTTAGGGTCTAAATGAGATCAATTGATTTCTCTGGTAATTTGAGCATTCCTGAACAAGAAGTCAAACATGCCCCTAACCGCTTCCCTTTCAAGAGTCAGCAACTGTTTGTTATGGGGTCACACGGGACTGAGAGTTTTAAAATAGTATTTTAAGGTAATTTCATGTTAAGTCAGCATGAAGCTTTGGTCGTGGTTATTAGTATGTAACCAAAGGACAGTGACGTTATCAGCCACATAAAGCATTTACTGAAGAGAACACCTGAGTGCAAAGCCCATTGGCATTAGTAAGACGTGTGAGTGAATTGTCGCTGGACACGTCTGGTTACAAAACACCCAGAAGCAAAGTGTTAGTAAAAATTAGGAAACATTTAATAAACAAAAAGCCAGATACCCCAGTGAGCCCCAGATACATTTCACTAGCTTGGCAAATAGGCTAATGAAGGCATATCTGATCATAGAGCTTTACAAGCCCCTCGGTAGTAAAATTAAACCACCTGTATTAAGAACAGCAGCAATTCCTTATTCCCACAATATGCCAGCATGTCACATGAATTCTGTAAGGAAACTGACAAGGTGGCTCTTTACCTGCATGTCATCAGAAGAAGAGTGTTAATGAAAGAGAACTCAATACTTACAAAAGCAGAGGAAAAGTGTATCAACGCACATTGCATAGACACTGAAGAACCCATGTGCAATTAGGTAAGAGCCAATAATGACAGTCTGCAAAAAAACCCAAAAACATACATTTGACACTATCATGGCAACATCACCTCAAAGAACAAGAACAAACAAGAAAGTCTGCTAAACCAACAGGAAAGGATTTATTTATAGTTCCATAACTCTGCAGTAGGCTTGCTGCTGAGGCAAAAGATCACAGATTAAAGTCACTGTGTGGTGACATACACCTGTTACCAATTTCTAAGATGGCAACTTGGAATCATGTTGTTCCCAGTGCAGGAAAACCCACACAAGGGCTATGAAACTCTGTTTCAGTTCATGGAGTTCTCTCAGATTGCCCCTTCAAGAAAGAGGGCTCACCACCCAACCTGCAGATATCCCCAGATCTATGAGGGACTCCACAGGGAAAGCATTTACATAGGAGCCAAGTGCTTTCTCTTTGCTCTGTAGACCTCATCCCTTAGGAAGACATGCTGCAATTGGTTCCCCATCGTCTACCCCAGTGCTGTGTGTGGAGGTTTGTGCAGAGCTGGCATGGAACCGAACTCTCCTGCACACAGAAGGTACCAAGTCCCTTGAGGCTCACTGCAGCACCATAATGGTACAAAGCTACCTGAACTGAGTCAGGGAGGGATGGAGTTTGGCAGAGCTGGCTAGCCACAGAAGAGGATGCTGCGCCCATTGACAGGATGGTGGAGATGCAGTTGCCAGTAAGTGCTCCCCAAGAACTGACCCAGAGCTGCCCCTCAAAACTCCCACAGTGTCCTAAGAATGTAAACTGCATCCTTACCAACAGGGGTACCCAGTAGTAATTTAATGTTGGGGTTTCTTGTTTGAACACTGGTATTCTATGTGTGAAGAAAAAGAAGGCTAGAACACCTGTAAGAAGCATAGAGCACAGGCCATTAGTTATTCACATAGGTATCTGGGACTTCAACACTCATGAAGAATGGGTAAGACAGGCACAGCTGAAAACAGACTCAGGAGGTTTTGAGCAATAAATCTCTAGATATCAATTATCCCCAGGATCTGTATTCTGACTAGAACAGAAATGGCATATAAATGAATTATCATAAAGATACTTGTGGGGCCAGAAAGACCTGACTCAATTGTTTTATTTCATGAGTCAGACTGGGTTTTATATCAAAACTAATAAATAAGAATATATGATACAAAAATATGATAATATAAAAGACCATCAGACTGATCTTGAAAAAAATAAATAAATTAAAAAGCATACGTGAGCAAAAGCCTGTGGCTTTAGCTTTCACCTCTTGGAGGAATATTTAACCATTTGAGATTAAAAATAGAAATGGCATAGCTATTGATAAATACACTTAATGATAAATCTAGAGCTACATACATTAATTCATCATCATATCTGTGCTACGCAGAACAGAAAAGACATGTTAATGAATTATCCTACACAATGTATCCTTAAGGAGGAGGAAAACATGAATCAATTTCAGCATTTCATGGCTCACATTTCAGAGACAGTTTCAAATCACATTTGCCTTCCCATTTTGAAAGTCAGTCTATAGTAATGACAAAAACATTACAGATTTGGTCTCAATTCTAATTTTCATCTGCTGGTAAAAAATAATCCATTTAGGACTTTTTTTAAAAATACACAAAATATAAAAGATGGCCATCAATGAAATCATGTTTTGAAACTCTTGTGACAGTTTAAAAGGCCTGAAGGGGACACCGTCAACTTGAATTTTTGAAATGGACCAATTAAAAAGAAAATTGGTTTTCTGCCGCAGCACACTGAAGAGTATGTCCTGACTTTTATTAGTATGAAAGTAAAAACTGTAAAAATGTTAGGTTTTGTCTGCTCCCCTGCTTGTGTTTGGAAGGGTCCTTTGGACAGGCCTGAATGCAACACTACAAAAGATGCTTAGGCCCACCCCGTCTCTCCATACACACACCTGCATGCAGCTTGCTGACAATTCAGTTTCAGTTACAGTGCTGCTGTTGCGGCTGATAAATACCCTCTTGCACAGTCTGAGGAAGAATGTGCACCTGTAACACACTGGGGATGGTATACTACAGGTTCCCCTCTCTGCCAGATCCACTGAGGATATGAGTCTGTTACAGTCAAAGGCAAACTACTTTAGTTCAAGGTGTAGAGGCTTATGCTTTTAGTTCTGGAGGTCCCCAGTTCAATCCCCAGCGTGTCAACCTTCCACAAGAACAGTGGAAGTGACTATACAAAAAATACTGTCAAATGCACAAAGTAAGATGAAAAAAAAGAGAGGGAAAACATGCTTCTTTGGGCTCAATCCTGCAATTCTTTGCTCATGTGATTAGTACTTATGGTATCAAGGTTTGCAAGAGCAAGTCCTTGATGTGTTGTCTGAGCACAGAAGTTTAGCACATTCTAGGCTAGTAGGGAATAAGAATCAACATCACATTGAAATAACTGACTTACCTACACCGCCAGCAACGAGAAGTTTCCCAAGGAACAACAAGAAATCTGTAACTTTGTCCAGCACTGCAACTCTATTCAACAGAGGACAAACGGTTTTTGAGCACCTCAAAACAGAACATCTCTACTCTTTTCATATTCCATGAAATCCATGGAAAGTTGATGAAATTGGCTCAGAAAAGTCATTGTCTTGCACTGGTCCTTTGGCCAACAATATAACAATGCAAGAAATCAACATGGAGACGATAAAGGAGGGTAGCATTTTAGAATTCTGGTTATTAAATGCCCAGTCTTGTGAGGGACTAAGGACCTTTAACTCCTAACGAAATCAATGAGAGGTGAGAGCATGTTTAAGAAGGATGAATTCAAACTGGAACAGGTACAGAGAAGGGCTACTAGGATGATCCGAGGAATGGAAAGCCTGTCTTATGAAAGGAGACTCAAAGAGCTTGGCTTGTTTAGCCTAACCAAAAGAAGGCTGAGGGGAGATATGATTGCTCTTTATAAATATATCAGAGGGATAAATATCAGGGAGGGAGAGGAATTATTTAAGCTTAGTACCAATGTGGACACAAGAACAAATGGATATAAACTGGACATTAGGAAGTTTAGACTTGAAATTAGATGAAGGTTTCTAACCATTAGAGGAGTGAAGTTCTGGAACTGCCTTCCAAGGGGAGTAGTGGGGGCAAGAGACATATCTGGCTTCAAGACTAAGCTTGATAAGTTTATGGAGGGGATGGTATGATGGGATAGCCTAATTTTGGCAATTAATTGATCTTTGGTTATTAGCAGGTAAATATGCCCAATGGTCTGTGATGGGATGTTAGATGGGCTGGGATCTGAGTTACTACAGAGAATTCTTTCCTGAGTGCTGGCTGGTGAGTCTTCCCCACCTGCTCAGGGTTTAACTGATCGCCATATTTGGGGTCGGGAAGGAATTTTCCTCCAGGGCAGATTGGCAGAGGCCCTGGAGGTTTTTCGCCTTCCTCTGCAGCGTGGGGCACGGGTCACTTGCTGGAGGATTCTCTGCACCTTGAGGTCTTTAAACCACGATTTGAGGACTTCAATAACTCAGGCATAGGCTAGAGGTTTGCTACAGGAGTGGGTGGGTGAGATTTTGTGGCCTGCATTGTGCAGGAGGTCAGACTAGATGATCATAATGGTCCCTTCTGACCTTAAAGTCTATGAGTCTATGAGCACTCAGCACATTGCTGAACAGGGCCATAGGACAGCAAAACTGCTGACAGCACTTGAAAGCTATTAATTGGGTGTTGTTCTTGTTGATAAAGAAATTAGCATATTTCTCTATTTCAGCCTTTTCTTCATAGCAGGATCCTGGGCAGGCCAGCCCTAGCAGGAGGTGAACTGGGCACCAAAACGTAGGAGACCCAGCATTTGTGCATGCTGTCAGTAGACTTTTGTCCATTTCATTCACTCCTTGCTAGCCACATTGTCTCTGCTTTCAGAATGCACTGAAACCTCAAGGCTTTGTTGAGGTGTCTCAGCACAGCACAGCAGGGGGCAATCTCAAAGCAGGAAATCAGCCCCAGGTGAATGAATGCTAGGAGTCAGAAAAATTGACAGTAAGTCTGCATTGCTCAGTCTTCCTTGTAATCAGACTGAAAACAACAGGAAGGAAAGGAGGCCAGAATGGGGGCTTATTGCAGGGAGCCTCTGATCAAAATCCTGCCTGACTCATGGCATGGAAATGAGACTTGTATTGCAAGACACTTGACAACAATGAAGGCTATGTATATGGTAATGTAATGTACCAGCATGAAATAAACATTCAACAACCAAATTAAAGAAAACAAACCATCATTAGCCTGTCAGAGTTAGGAATTAGAGCTAGAATATACAGAGTAGAAAATCCTAATTCAAAATAATACAAGGTTTGCCTGGCTCCTAGCTATTGCTCTTGGTGATTAACAGCAGTAGCATAAGGGAGAGAAGTGGAGGCGATAGCTAGGGCTATGATTTTGTCATGGAGGTCATGGTAATCATGAATTTAAGTAAAGTCTGTGAAATCTTGGAAATGGCTGTAAAAACATATTTGATTAGGCCCCAAATCGAGTAGCGTTGCAACCTGGTGCACGGCGTCACAGTACCAATCAGGTTTGGCCCATCTGCCTTCATCTACAGAGGGGCGGACAGGCCAAACCTAAGTAGTGCTGCGACCCTGTGTGCCAGGTTGTAATGCCCAGCTCTGCAGACAAGAGCTGCCTCTGTAGGGGGAGTACAAGTCAGGCTTGCTCTCCAAACTCCCCCCGAGACACATACCCCTGGGACTACCTTTCAGCATCCCTCACTGTACTCTTGTGAAAAATACGTTAGATCTCTGATCTGATCTCAGATCTCTGCCACAAAATTTACTGAAGAGACAAGGTGGGTAAGATAATATCTTTCATTGCACCAACTTCTGTTGGTGAAAGAGACAAGCTTTCAAGCTACAGGCCTTGTCTACACTACATAGTTAGGCTGACATAAGCCACCTTGCATTGACCTAGTTGTGCATGTGTCTACATTTAAATTTGTCTCCCACTGATCTAAGTGGCTTGTTACAGCAATGAGCAGTGTTGAGCCATGGTCGATGTACTGAGGTCGATGCAATGTGACTGTTACTTATGTCAAACTAACAGACCTCCAGCAGCTATACCACAATGCCAGACACTGACTGCTCTGGTCACAATTGATAGCTCCACTGCCCAGGGTCATTGAGACTGGAAGGTCCCCTTCCCCTTTAAAATCTTGCACATTTTTGAAATGTGTTTTCCTGATTATCCAGCTTGGTGAGCACACTTAGCAGTTCTCCATTTTTGTGAGCAACTGCCCAGCTGGCCATGCTGGCTACACACTCCAGATGTGCTCTGGCTTGGAGTAGACAGGAGATATTGGATCTCCTGGCCTGTGGGAAGAAGACACTGTGAAAGCACAGCTATGGACCAGTCACAGAAACATGGACATTTATGAGCAGATTGCTCAGGGGATGCAGGAGAAGGAGTACAACAGGGATCAGCCGCAGTGCCTTGTGAAAGCAAAGGAACTGCAGCAGGCATATCAGAAGGCCAGAGAGACAAACTGTCAATGTGGTGCTGAGCCACAGACCTGCCATTTTTACAAAGAGCTGCATGCTGAACTTGGCAAAGACCCCACTACCACCCTGCAGAACACCTTGTGGATACCTCCAAGGAGCCCAAGTCACGGGATCCTGGTGTGAACTGGGAGGAGGAGATGGAGGAGGATGGGGGACATGTGACCAGGAGGTCCAGCTATGCCACAAGCCGGGACCTGTTTGAGACTCCACCCATCCAGTCAGTCCTGGTAGTTGAGCATGGATGAGCCCGATGCAGGGGAAAGAACCTCAGGTAAGTGTGCTATTGCCCTCTACATATAGTTTCATGCAACCGAGAAATTTCCTCCTTATTTCCCTCACCCTTGTGGGCCTTACTTACTCTGGCCAGTGCTGTGAGTGGTGCCATGCACAAGTACTCGACAGCAGAAGTGTGCATAAGCATGTCTGGTTTAACAAGGAAAGGGGGAAGTTCTGAATCTTAACTTTCACTTTACATTATGACTATATTGACAATGGTACCTCTGTGTGTTTTATCTGCAGTTACTGCTGTGATCTTGAGGGGTTTCCCCTTCCACACCCATGGAATGCCTGAGCCACTTACAGAGGAAAAAGAAGAGGACTAGGGATGACATGTTCAGTGAGATCCTACAAGTCAGTGCTGAATCATATCATGGCAAAGGGCCTGGAAGGTAAACATTGCAGACATCCTGGAGAAGGAAAGATCATACAGGGTTTTGGCCCAGGAGTCCCAGGAGAGGGAGATTCACCAGGACATAATGGCACTTCTCCAGACGCTACAGATTCAACAATCACAGGATCACCTCCCTTTGCAGTCCACAGAGAACTCCATTACAGCATCTCCCTATATTCCCCTCAACATTCCAGGTGGTGTCAGGGGCCATATCCCTACCCTACCACTTCACCGCAGGGGACATTAAGGACAAACACAGTTTCACATACACTGACCTGTGAAATCCACAGTTGCAGTATGTGTAGGTAAAACGGACATGAATGTTCTTTCCCCTTGTTAAGTTCTGATCCATTAATTTATTAAGTTCTTAATGTATTTGCTGTTAGATTGCACAGATTTTTCTTTGCACTAGTTTTGTTACTAAACAAAACTGGAAAATAATTAATCTTCATTAGTTCACAGCATATGCTGCAGAGTGCCTCGCAGTTCTGAAAGCAGCCACTTCTTGTTGTACAGTGTGATACAACTCTTAGGACCAGTGACAAACACAGGGTAATAATCACAAATGTACACTGTAAAAATTAATAGGTGCATTGACAGTGTTATATTCATAGATGTGCACCAAGCACCATACAATTCCTAAAAGGCCTCAAAACGGCAGGGCCAGGTAGAGCACAGTACACCACAACACATTATTGTTGCTTGCTGTTAAAGTGCTCTTCCAAGCTTCCCTGAGCCCTATAGCTGCATGCTGAGCTTTTCTAATAGCCCTTGTGTCTGGCTGTTCAAACTCAGCAGACAGCTGCTCCACCTCTGCCCTTCACCCTGGTGGCAACTTTCCACTTTTCTTCACAGATATTATGTAGGACACCGCAGGCAGCTATAACCACCGGGATGGGTTTTTTTCCACTGAGATTCAATATAGGGTTACCATATTTCAACACTGAAAAAAGAGGACACTCCACGGGGGCCCTGGCCCTGCCCCAACTCCACCCCTTCCCCACCCCCGGCCCCGCCCCAACCCCGCCCCCATTCCAACCCCTTCCCCAAAGTCCCTGCCCCAACTCTGCCCCCTCCTCTGAGCACCCTGCATTCCCACTCCTTCCTCCCGCTCTGATCTTGGTTGGGGGTTGCTAAGTGCTTCCCTGCTCCCCACTCGCCCTGCAGCCCCTGCACCCCCCCACCCCTGCAGCCTCTGCGCCCCCCCCAGTGGCCGGGGGGTCCCCGCCCGTGAGGGAAGCCTGAGCCGCTGTCTGGGCCCGGCCTCCCCGTGGTCCTGCAGGCTCAGCTGGGGCACGCGGTCTGCCCGTCCTGCGGGGGCAGCAGCGGCCCCTCCGCAGCCTTCTGCGGCTGTGCCCCCCCTCACTCCCCCCCGCCCGAGCTCGCTACAATGTAGCTGGGGCGGCTGGGCTGCACTGCGCACCCGGCAGGTCGTGCTGGGGCCGGGCGGACCCTGGCTTATGCCTCCCTATTTTCCCCGGACATGTTCGGCTTTTGGGAAATTCCCCCCGGACTGGGATTTGAGGACCAAAAAGCCGGACATGTCCGGGGAAATCCGGACGTATGGTAACCCTACAATAGTATGAGTAAACAATGCCAGCATCCTTTCAATCTACCAAAAGCGCATTCTACTGTCATTCTGCACCTGCGGAGCCAGTAGTTGAATCTTTCCTTGGTGCTACCAAGGTGAGCCAGGGGAGCAAGGGGTAGGCTGGGTACCCCAGGATCACTACAAGTATTTCAACATTGCCAATCGTAATCTGCTGGTCAGGAGAGAAAGTCCCTGCTTCTAGCTTTCTGAATAGTCCTGTGCTCTGAAAGATGCTAGTGTCATGCATCTTCCCTGATCAGCCCACACTGATGTCAGTGAAGCATCCCTGGTGATCCACCAATGCTTGCATAACTATAGAAAAGCAGCCCTTTCTGTTGATGTACTCTGTGGCAAGGTGGTCTGGTGCCAAAATAGGGACATGTATGCCATCTATCACTCCACTACAGTTCAGGAACCCCTTTGCTGCAGATCCATCCACTATGTCCTGCATATTGCCAGGAGGAGACAATTAATGGCCCTGCACACTTGCATGACAATGTCCCCCACGATGCATTTGCCAACTCTAAAATGATTTCCTACTGACCGGTAGCAATCCAGCATTCCAAGTGTCCACAGTGCCATTGCCACTCACTTCTTCACTGTCAGCGTAGCTTTCATTGTGATGTCCCTGCGCTGGAGTGCTGAGGTGAGCTCAGCACACAGATCCAGGAATGTGGCCTTGTGCATCCAAAAGTTCTGCAGCCACTGCTCATCATCCCAAGCCTGCATTACGATGCTATCACACCGTCAGTGCTAGTTTCTCAAGCTCAGAAGTGGCACTCCACCATCTGCAGCTCCTCCATGAATGCCACCAACAACCCTGAAATGGTTCTTGCTATGTCTCACAGCAACCTGTCCTCCAAGAAATTGTCATGTTCTGCCCTGATTTGGTTATTCTTATGGCTCTCCAAATGCTGGAGGATTGTGCATCCTGTGCTTGCAATGCTTATGACAATAGTGCAGAGCTGTATAGGCTCCATGCTTCCGTCAGAGATGGCGAACAGAGAGGAGGGCTGCACAAGTTTGTGGGAGTTTTAAAAAGGGGCAAGAAAATTATGGGATACAAGTGACATTATGGGATGGAGACAGCTGCACGCTGGGAACTTGACCCCTGGCCCCAATCACCCATGTGACTTATGTCTGCCCAACCCTGCATTGCCTAATCTCCCCAAAAGACAGTGTGCTGGATGGTGGTGGGTTGCAATTTGGGATACCTACCCATGGTGCATTGCATTATGCATCGATACAAGTACCCCTGGTGAGTACATGCAGCACTTGTAAAAGGAGCCAAATACGCACGCGCAGAAGTGATATACTATCTGCAGCAGCTTTATACTGATGTAACTTGCATTGCCCAAAGTTTGTAATGCAGACATGGCCCACAGAGCTCTTGGAAAGGTACTCAGAGTGTCACAGCTATATACAACAGATTGTTTAGCACACACAGTTAACACGTACTGTAAGACAGTGGTTCTGAACCTGAGGGCCGGGGCCCCAAGCAGGTTTCAGGGGGTCCACCAAGCAGGGCCAGTGTTAGATTCGCTGGGGCCCAGGGAACAAAGCCAAAGCCCCACCACATGGGGGCTGAACTCCGGGGCCCTGAGTCCCGACACCCAGGACTAAAGTTGAACTTAGCTTTACGGGGGCCTGTAGTGAGGCCGAGTGGCCTCCCTCCGAGCGGGAGAGTGAGGGACCATTACACTCCCCTTGGAGGGCAGAGCCTAGATCGCCCTGCCCCCCTCGCCAGAAGTACCGGGGTGTGGCCGGAAGTATAAAAGGCAGGCCCTGCAGCACAGTTGTGGCAGAGCCTGTGGAGGAGAAGGACGCTCCGCCTGTTCTGCAGTGTCCCAGAGGGGAACCTACGCCTGGCTGTTCCCGATCCCCAGATGCCAATGAGGACTGGCCTGGAGTGCCTGCCACTGTGTACCCCAAGGAGCCGGAAGAGGACTGGAGGCCACAGGTACCGAACCCCGGGGAGGCAGGAAGTGGTCCAGGGGCAGCCAGGGAACAGTTGGCTGCAGAGCCAGGGGTGGCTCAGTCGGCATGTTGGGGCTGGATCCCCACCGACACAGGGGCAGCCATCCCTGCCCCTGCCAGGGCCCTGGGCTGGGATACGGTGGAGTAGGGTGGGCCCGCATTCCCCTGCCACCACACCCCGGGGTGGCCGACTCCCTACACTGTGCAAGGAAGCTCCAGCTCTGAAGAAGGAGCTTCCCTTACCAGCTCCCTTATAGACTGTTGCTTTGCTGGCTGCCTGAGCCCCGCCCAGGCTAAAGCCAGACTTGAACCTGTTTTATTGCTGGCAGCCTGAGCCTCCTCAAGCCCAGGCCCCAGCTCAGGTATAGACTCTGTTTAAGGGCTGGCAGAATGAGCTGCCCAAACCCAGGCTAACGTCTGACTGTGACTGTTGGTTGCCCAGCCCTATTGTGGGCTCTTCACTGTCCTGCGGATTCTGGTTCTGGCCAGACGGGACTGGACTGAGTGGCCTCCCTCCCCATGGGAGAGCGAGGAACCATTACAGCACCCCGTGGCATGGGATTGCAAGCTGGAAGTGACATTGTTCTGGTATTTACACTTGATAACAGGAGTGGAGACTCCTCAGGTGCAGCCCTTTGTCTAACTCTGGTATGCAATAGGCAGGGGTGCTTAACTGAATGGCTGCACCCACAAGGAAGTCCTGGAACCTTTACATACAGCTCAGTCCTCTCCTCCTGCCTCTGTCTAGAAACTCCATTCCCCCAGTCTTTGTCCGCATTCTCTTCTCATTCAGTGTCTCTCCCTCCCTGCTCCTCACCATCCAGGTCCTCTTATCCTTTCCTGAATAATTTAAACTACCTAACCTCCTTAAATGTGCCTCTTGCTGGTAATTAGGCTACCTCCTATTGCTCCAACATGGCCTCCTCCTAAGGGCTTGTTCTAATCAGCAACCTGCTCCCATTCTTTCTGATCTTCAGATATTACAGGAAGAGCCAGGAGCACGGAAGAGGAGTGCTGATTAGCATAACGAGTTCAGCAGCAGCCCTAGCGATGGAGCGAGGGGGCTGGGGTTCAACACCAGGAGAGATACCTATTATAGACTTTGGTTTTAAAAGCAAAAACATTCCCTCCCTCCTTGTCACCATCCCAGCCCCCTTCCCTCTCCCTTGCCCCCTCCCCAAGTTTCCTTCCAGGGATTTTGAGGCTTAGACCTAGCTGTTCCTCTTATTAAAAAATGTGAATCCAACCTCAACCCTTGCAAGCTACACCTGGATGCCACGGTGATGGGTGCCTTATGAGGTGTGTAAGAAATCAATAGAAATGTTGTCAGTAGGCACCACTGCTTTCTTGACAGTCCTGCTGCAGCTACCAGGGATGCCTAGCCACCTACAATGTCAACCAATTAACCCGCAGCAAAGGTGTCTGTCAGGTTAAATAAAATCATCCTAGCTCAGGCTATTGACTAGCTCTATGGCTTGCCAGATGCATGAGGAGCTGCTAAAAGGGAGAGCAATGTGTGAAGGCAGGACCCGTTACAATCAATTTTCTAGGGGGAAAAGTGAGTTTTCAGAGTGTAATAGCAGCAACAAGAAACACGGCCTCTTACCTCACCACGTTCCGCATTAGCAGAAAGAACGCTTCCTTTGCTGAGGTGCAGAAGTTTTTACCATATATCGCAATCTGCAAAACAGTAACAGTTGATTGTTAACTATATAGCTAATCAAGGACAGCCCTAAGTTTTCTGGGGCCCTATGCAAATGAACCCATGTAGGGCCCTACATAGTTCTTTCCCACCTGTGACCAAACCCACCCACCTCCACATATCCATAAACCGTCCCACAATACACTTCCTGCTTCCTGTTACTTCTCACCAGACTGTCACAGAATATCTCTCAGCCCACCCACCTCTCCAAATCATCTGTTTGTGGGGCTCTGCAGCCTCTGGTGACCTGCTTACAGGAGAGAAAGGCAGGAGGTGGAGACAATACTTAGGTTTCCAAATAGAGCAGCTGGGGAACACAGTCTCTGCCACAGCTTGCCTACAGTTGAGGAATTGAGGATAGCAAGTTGAGGGGTATATAGGGAGAAGCGTTGTGGTCTATCCATCCACAAACAAGCCTAAAGCCACTACTGGGATTTGTGCAGGGATTAGGCACAATAACTGAATGCAAAAAAGCCACTTTAAAATAAGATTAAGGCTACAGATGAACCTGAAGCAAAACCCAGGCTCCAAATGCCCCTGACCTTTGGGGAAATTCAGTCCACATCTCAACTCTGCAGCTCAGGCCTTTTGCTAGTGGAGGCACAAACTAACAAAATCCATCTAAGGCAGGCCCCCCTCCCTTAAGGCTGCTTATTACACAGATCGGATGCCCTGGACATGATTCAGATCTCACACCAAAGTAGATCAGGAGTAACTCCACTGAAGTCAATGGAGTTACATCAGTGTAAGATTGGAACAAGATCAAAACAGGCCCTACTTGTTCAGAGCTCTGCAAAACTGAAGCATTATCAGGGACCAGGTTCTGCTCACTGCTACTTCTAATGAGCTTTAGTTGAGTTAATTTGGATTTATATTTGCATGTCTAAATGCACAGTGTATCCAAAGGGCAACAGCTTTAATAGGGACATGCCTTGCTTTTCCTGGACAACCTCAGTATTATTTTAATATAGGTTATTAAATGCTTAAAAAACCCCCCACAAAAGTCAAGACTTTGTCTATGTTGGAAAATTGACTGGCATAGCTACTGCAGAATAAGCTATTCTGTACTAGCTGTTGTAGAATAGCTGCCTGAGCGGAGACTCGAATAAAAGTGACTTTATTCCAGAGTAATTTCCCAGCTCACGCAGTTTAGTAAATTCACTTTCTTTCCAGAACAGTGTCTCCACGTGGGGGAGATATTCTGGAATAGTTAAATTATACCACAATAGTTATGCTGGTCAATTTTCCCCATGCAGATAAGGCTGTAGAAAGAACAATTTCCTCCCCTGAAGACTGCACTAATTCTGAGATCCCTTTGGAGCAAATGGGGTTTTAATGAAAGCATTAGAGTCACTTCCTCGGAGATAACAGCTCTTAGACTGCAAAACACTTTTACTGAAATTGTTTCAGGTCAAAACAAGACAACACAGGTGAATTCTGCTCTTATTTACAACGGGGTAAATCTGGAATCTCTCCCCTGAAACCAATGCAGCTCCTCTGGAATTACACCACTTGAACTGAGAGCAGAATTCGGCTCTATGATTTTACTGGCGAGTACAAGTGCTGAGTGTTCTGTAGCTTCCTTATTCACAGCAGCACATTTTAACAAAAACATCACGTCGGTATGTAGTATACAGTGTTTGCAGGAGGTGGTGACATTCCTATTGAAATCAGTGTTTGAATTGCAGGTGGGGGGGAATGTTAACCAGTCATACTGTATCTCCACTTCTGATGGGTACTGGTAGGGGGGGAAGAGGGATGGGGGAGGGGAAAAAGGATACTATCATTTGGGGGGGCAGGGACATATGAATTCCCCCAAAGTCACTAAAATCCAATTCTTTACCTTCTAGAGTCAAACAGTGACAGACTGTAACCAAAGTAAAGCCTGGCATAGCTAAAAAGCAAAACATTAACGTTTTGATGACTGCAGATACATCTATACTGCACGCTCCTTATGGAGGCTTGTAGGAGTACAGACACTGCACGCCCCCCTAGCACAGGTATAAACAGCAGTTTAGATGGCGAGCCACAGTTTAGGCTGTTTTTAGCAGTGTAGTGTCCTGCTGCCTCCCTGCTGCTGAAGACTTTCCCTACTGCAGTGAAAGGCTCCAGCAACAGGGAAAGGCTCTGGCATCCGGGAGCTGCCAGAGCCTTTCGCTGCTTCATGTAGCTATACATAAGTGTGGAAACAGCCTACTTGTCACGGCAGCATGTAGCTACATGTACCCTACATATCCCCGCCACTGGTGTGCAGTGTAGGCATATCTTAAGGCATAGGCACCGACTCCCACTGTTCCCGGTGGGTGCTCGACCCCACCCCCGCCCCTGCACCACCCTCGGCCCACCCCCATTCCACCCCTTCCCCAAAGTCCCTGCTCCCTTCCCGCCCCCATTCCACCCCCTTCCCCCAAGTCCCTGCCCCTGCCTGCCTCTTCTCCACCTCCTCCCCTGAGTGTGCCTCATCCCTGCTCCTCCCCCCTCCCTCCTGGAAAGTCCTAAGTACTGCCAAACAGCTGTTTGACAACGGGAGATAGGCGGAGGAGCGGGAACGCGGCATGCTCAGAGGAGGAGGTGGAAGTGGAGGAGGAGGTGAGGTGGGGCGGGGAGCTTGGCTGCCGGTGGGTGCTAATTTTTCCCCGTGGGTGCTCCAACCCCGGAACACCCACGTAGTCGACACCTATGCCTTGAGGCTTATATCTAAGATACTGATTGTAGTGCCCCAGGCATGATGCTAGAACATGCTGGGAGAGAAAATACGCACCATGATGTAGGCATTTCTGTTTATGAACTTTATGAATTTTTCCAAACACCAAAAACAGCATTTGAGGCAACAGAGCAGAAATCTCGTAAAGGAGTTCTGTGTACCTGCAGAAAAGGAGGGAGAGCAGAACATGCAGACACATGATGAGTGGTCTTTAAAATATGGAGAGGCTGCCCACAATGGCTGGATCCCCGGAGATAGGTCAGTAGTTGAAATGTTGCCAGCTCTCCCCCAAGATAGAATCCTGTCCCATCACTGGAGCAAGGAGTTGCAATTTTCTCCCTTCCAGAGTGAATCTAGCCCACTAGCCCTACATTATTTCATATCCATCTCCTACATAAATTCTTATATTAAACTTTCAAGGACAAACACTCAGCTGGGGTAAATCAGCATAGATTCATTGACTTCAAATGGCACTACAGTGATTTATACCAGCCCAGGATTTGCCTCTTAGATGTTTTATAGCTGAAGAACCATTTTGGAAAAGGAAGGAAAACAAGATGAATTCTTAATATTCTACAGCAAGTTCAGAAATCTCACCTTTCAGCTTGTGATCCAGGTACTCCAAGATTATTCTAATCAACTGGACTATTGCAAGAATTAATGATCCAAATGCTAGTGAACCTGTGTGATATCTAATACAAAACAAAGAGGTATTTTACCATGTTACAGGAGACAACAGCAATACGTAACTGAACTGACCTTCGCAAATATCACAAAAAACTATCTTATGGACTGTGAAATCTGCAAACAGTCTTTTGAAAAAGATTAACAACAATGCAAAATTTGCTAAGAACTTGGATGCTGACGAAAGATTGTGAAATGTTGCCTCTACTAAATGCTTCTGAATAACCCTAGTGTTAGCTGAACAATTTGCTCTGCTAGATACAACATGAATAAGAGATACTACAATTACAAAAGGCCTATAAATTGTGTTGTAGTAAAAATGTTTATATCCATAATGTGATTTCCTTTGCTAATTTTAACTTAAGATTATTACTGATATAATTTAAATGTACAAATTTAAATATTGGGTTTAAATTTAAACTGTACAGTGCTTTTAATAATTACACAATAGGTCAATATGCTCCTGATTTTTCAATAAAACAAAAAGTCCAGACCCATGCACAAAAATGTATACATCCACACATCGCTATTGTGTTTGCAGAAAGATCATTTGTATTTTTTAGGTGTCTAACAGCCATTAGAGGGTTGCTATAACAGATTTGCATATGCAGGTGCAGGAATTGCTTGTATAAGTTAGGCATGCAATTTCTCAGAGCTTCTACTCTTTTGAAATTCAGGCACTTAATGAATTTGGATCTGCTCCTCACACTGAAGTCAAAAGCAAAATGCAGGTCCGTAATGACTAGGATGATTGAGCCCTTAATGACTAAGCTTTTCTACATAATTGTTTTCCTTTGATAGTCTAAGCATAATGAAATTGTTTCCTTATGAGTTATGAGCAGCGCTAGGAAACACAAAGAGATTAAACTCCAGATTCTTATCCTTACCGTATTGCTCGTCCAAATGAAGAAAAGAGTGGGCACGTTGGAATATCAGCAGGTTTTCTAAAGGCCCAGTAGTAAGAGGCAAAGGCACCAGCAAGGGTACACTGACCCAGTGCAATTGCAAAGTTTACCAGCCACAGAAAGACAAAAGCATTGGAGAGTTGAAAGATGAAGATGTATTTGTGATAGAAGCTTTCTCCCCCATAGAAAGCAAAAGTACACTGAGCACCAACACATAATTTGGTCACATTGGTTGTGTTAAAAGTCTGTTTAGAAAGAAAAACAACAAAAATAATCAAGCAATGAACAGGATGTGTCAGGACAATTTCTGAAATTAAATGGCTGAGCACAAAAAATCTCATATTCTGCTAGATGTTTCACTAACTCATTCAATCCTGCTACAAGTGGAAGTCTAACTTCAATGTAAATGTTTTTTAATTCATTTAAATAATTCAAAACTAAGCCCTACTTAATTTGTGATATTGGGGAAATTGCAGATCCCACAATATTAGGCTTTCACCGCAATTTCGTTAGCAGCCCGGGGCTGACAGCACCACTGTTAGCCCCGCGCATTAATGACTGTCATATAGTTGCAGCAAAATGTCCAGTTATCAAAAAAATTAGCAGATATAACATAATACTTGAGTGTTTATATTGTTCCAGCAAAAATTTCTTAAACAAATAGATCTTCTCTGGCTTTTCCAAATTACCACAATTAATAAAGGTCCATTATTACTTTTCCACGATTTTCCATGTCTGGTCTGTAACTCAGCTGCAATTATTTGACAATCATTCCATGATTCAAGTAGGTCCTTATTAAAAACCCAATACTAAAAAAGACTTAATGCTCTGTGATTAGTAAATGGGCCGTTCACTATGGATAAACGTGAGCACATACACAAGTCTTTACATGACTGGGGCTTAACAATTCAGAATCTGAATTACACAAACCCCCTCTCCTGATACACAACTTGTTCAGTTTCCTTACAGAGCAGCTAGTCATATTTATTTAAAACTCATGGCCAGATCCTCAATTTGTTTAAATCACTAGCTCAAGAGAAGTCAATGGAGCTATGACTTTTTACACCAGCTGAGGATCCGGTCACAGAATTTCTTATCTGTCTCCCCTTAGATTATAATAACAATAAAAAAATTTAGAATTGAATTTACTTTTCTCTATTTGTGCTGTTTACTCTGTCCATTTGCCCAGCTTGGACAATGAAAACAGAATGGTCAGACTTGAATCTCTTTCTCCTTTGGTTCACAGACATCAGCAGAGTGCTGTAGTGTTTGGGAGGCATGCATTTCACGGGAATGCTATCTATTACTTAAAACAAGCTGTTTCCATTGGCATTTAAAATAACTGGAAACATTTCTACTGATGTTAGGCTTCATAAACGGTTTTTTGTGTTTGAAGAACTCCCAAAACAAAGTTAGAGCCCAACGTGACCTAACTGCTCCCAATAAATGCCAAAAGATTTGCTAAGCGTTTTGTAAATGTTCTTAATTTATCCTCATTGCTATGATAGGCAGTATTGTCTAGTAGCAAGAGCATATGACTGCAAGCTGAGAGATGTGGTACCCAGTTGGGTTTCTGCCATTAACTTGCTCAGCAGCCTTGGAAAAGTCTCTAAGTCCCAAATTTTGAAAACTGGCCACTGATTGTGGATGCCTTTTGGTATCTCTTAAACTGAGCATCCAAAAATTGAAGCACCAAAAATGAGTGGACACTTCTGAAAATTTAAGCCTTTACCTCTGTGTCTCAGTTTTCTCACCTGTAGAACAGGGCTATTCATACTTATCCTCCGCACTGGGGTGCTGTGAGAATTAATTACCTGGTGCTTGTAAAGTGCTTTGAACAAGTATTATGTGACCTAACACAACAAAGAATGAGTGGAATACAACTATGCATGGTCTTTAAACAAGCACTGCACATATCTTGAATGTCAATAAATTAATATAATTAGCATGCCCCCTCTTTTCCCCCTTCATAGGCAGTTATTAGTTATGCTTACCTCTGGGTCACAGGTCAGGTTTGCATACTTGCACAGTGTTTGATTAGCCATTACTTTATACACAGGTTCCCCTGATGTAGACAGGAAACTGAGTGAATTGTATTAAGGAGGAACTCACAGAATCACAGGTCCCTAAATTCCATCACACATTAAACAATATAGTAGGGGATCACTAACCCTGAAACTTGTGTGGGTTGGAGAGAGATTCAGTTTTAGAGCACCACCTCTTCCTATGCATGTGGCCAGCATATAAGCAGAAGGGCTAACAAGTAACATCTAAATTTTCCTCATAAGCTAGAGAACTGTGGAAAACCCTGCCCTGAAGTCTGCACAAGTCCCAGACTCAGGGAAGGAGCTACCTCCACATTGCTCTTAGTCCCCTCTGCGCGCATCACTATGGCAGCATGCACTAGTCGGTGACCCTACTGCCAGCAGCTCTTGGCCAGCTCCCGTGCTCGGTGACTGCTGCAGTGGGGAACAGAGAGGATGAGTTAATACTGCTCAGAGCAGAAATAACAGACTCTTCTTCACCCAGTGAAGGCTTCCTGACTCCTCCCTCTGCTGCTTGGCAAACCTCTGTGTAGCAGGCAGTTTTACAGAGAGGTTGGTGGTGGTTGTGCCGGGTGGGGAGCAGAACAGGCTGAGCAGCTGCCAGTGAAAAACATGGCAAAGGAGCAAATAAGAGCTCCCCAATTAACTAAGAAACAATGAATGCAGGGCTAAGGAACGTGAAGTCTTTGCAGGCCATACGCTCCATGGGTGAATAAACCCCGTGCAGTGGGCTCACCCAAAGCCTTATGTACCATTTAAGACCCATATTAAGGACTTAAATAGTGCACAGGGCCTTGTTTGAGCCCACTGGGGGGAATTCCTCCCTGAGACTGTTATTTTTTAAATAAAATATAATGTCCTGCTTGTATACCATAACCCAGTGTACAGAATCCTTTATTGGTGGGGAGATGGACTAGGTGACCTAACAGCTTGCTCTAACGTCTATGATTCTCTGAAGGTGTTATAATACAGTCTCAGCCAGCATGATGGAACAGAACAGCTCAATGAGACAGGAGCTACGTACAGCACCTCAGGCACCCACTTGATAAGATATGAGAGGGAAAGAGATACAACACATCCAGGTGTAGGACATTTCCCACTGTATTGTCCACTGGATCTACAAACACACTAACACGTCACGTGTGTGAACATCACTGCCGTCCCAATTCTGCATCTCACCCCGCACAGCCACACCAGCCACTTTGGGAGAAGCAGGGCAGAAGAAAAGTGCATTTATTTATTCCTTGTGTAAACAGTAGGGCACATAGGGTGGGTGTGAAGTATGTCTCCAGGTGATGATGTTTGTGAAAAATACCATCTGTTGGTGTTAGTCTTCTTCAGAGTCTCCTAAGAAAGCACAAAGGGATTTCAATACTGCAAAGTGAGGGTTTCTACAGTGGCTTCATCCCATATCAGCTATCAAGAGAAGAACCTTAGTGGAAACAAACAATTATGTAAGGATTTTGCCTCTACCTCCAATGTACTGCTCGTTGAGAATGAAGGCCGATGTGAGCATTTACAGAGTTATTTGGTGAGCTATTCAGATACTACCGCGATAATGAGGTACAAATACTCAGACATATAGAAGGATACACAGCTGTCACTGCCCAATAGGAAATACAGATTGCAATGAGAATGAAGGTGATAATGGGGTAGAATAATGTGGACATTATGTAGCCAATAGCCCTACAAAGGAAACAAAATAAGGTTGAAATCTAGAATGATGATAAAACAAAAAATTACTTTTTATTAGCCCTTTAGCATTAGCCCTTTTACTTCTCTCTTCACTGATACTGGTGGGGTCACCTAGTGCTGGGATCCCAGAGCACTGCCAGTACCATCTCCTTACTGCCTCACTTCTGTCACCGTCTCATTTTGTCTCTTCTCCTCCCACTCCTTCATCTGGCTGCCCTCCTCAAATCTCTGCTATATTCTGTTCCCAGTCCCCTTCTTTCCACTGATTTTGCCCTCCCTGATCCTATCCCTGCTACCGTCCTTCAATCCTGGGTCATAAACCCATTCTGCTCCCACATCCCTCCAACTGCTGTCTGCCTCAGACACTGCCCCTCCCACTGCCTGTCTTCTCCATGTTCCCAAACTACTCAACTCCTAGACCTGCTCTTTCCCCTGGGCCCCTGTACATCCCCCCTCCTGCCTTCCTCCTAGTGTTCACAGATCCAGACTGCTCGGGGACCTTCTGCTCTACTGAGCACTGCATGCTCTGGACCCTTGACATTCTACTTTTCTCTTGAGTCACAGTCCATTTTGCTACCTCACTACTGTAATGTATTTATAATTTTTCTGTGTAAGAGTGTGTGTGTGTGTATATGTGATGTTGCCTAAATTTGCTGGCCCACAGAAAGGATAAAGGGCTTTCTACTGCTACTAGCTAAGGAAGCTCTTCTTTAGTTCAAGAGACAGAGGCCTATGCTTTAGTAGCTGACAAACCAGACACTAGTCCCAATGAATAAAAGGTGTGGTCAGAGCGTGGACACAGGTAACTAGGAACTTGAGCGTTCTAATCCCTGCTCTGACAAGGATTCCCTCTGTGGCATTAAATACATTACTTAAGCCATCAGTGCCTCTCTAGAAAATGACTGCACTTATCTCACAGGGGAATAATGAGGATGGTTAGTTCTTAGATACTGTGGTGATGGGATAGGAAATAATTGTACAGGCAGCTCACTGCATGTGACTTATAGAAAGTGTGCCTGTTGTCTAAAGCATGTGGATTGATTACACTGCTCTCCCATTTTCCTTTACATTCCCCCAATCCACCTCATCCCATTCCTTCTGAACCTCTCCTTCCACAGCCCCCTGACGCGAACCTCTGACCATTCCAGCCTCCCTTCTCCCTCTGCCTTTCCTTCCCCCATTGTGCTTCTCCCCTGACTTGTTCACTCCTGCTGCCAGCTGCCTTCCAGGAGCCAGTTCCCAGAAAGCAAATGGAAGACAAATTTACTCCACTCCTGCTGTTAAATAAGAAGACCCTGGGGATAAATTAATCTGTCTTGTGCGATAACAAGGTCAATGGCAACATTCTAGTAGTGTTTTCTTATTGCCAAATCATACCTGGATCTACAGGCACAATAAGCGCATTATGAGTCATACAGACGTGCACGATTTTATGCTATTTAAGAAATAATCACAAATCAGTAGTTTCCAGCAGTTAATGATAGGCTTGTTAGTTAACAGTGAAGCCACAGACAGTTTACTCTAACAAACTGCTTGTTAACGATTCTATCAATGGATTCCAAACAGCTTATTACTATTATAAATTGTAATTTTACTGAAAGAATAGTTAAACTGTACTGAAAAAAATAATTTGATTCCCAGTCATTAGCAACTTATTTCCCATCATCCTGAATACAGGGCATGGTCTGTTAGGTGTACAGTAATTACTTACAGTGTTTCACCTCAGGCGTTATACATGAGTGTAAAAGTACTGCCCTCACGTGACCTTTCAGTGTAGCTAAAAAAACTAGAGGATGTTATTACCTCCCAGCAGGAAGTTTATGAAATTTCTGAAGTGTTTCTATCTGTCACATTTTTGAATAAAAGTGTCTTAGTGTGTAAAATGTTTCTGAATTATAATGAACAGGATCCAAAGGATAAAGTGTAGTGCTGCCAAAACTGACTGCTATTTCCTGCATGCATAGCTGTAGAAAGGGGAATAAGTAGGCTGATTATGGAACTTCAGCTTTCCCTAATTCCACAAAAGACTCCCTAAGTCCTGATACTACAGGCACTGGGATGCCCAGGACTGTAAAAGAAAAATCAGGGAAGGGAAGAGGTCACAATTCAGATTCAGATTCGGCACTGCTCTGATGAATTTGGTAGCACCGTGACTACCAACCATCTACTAGCTCTCTATACTAAATTCTGCTTTTGGGTACACATGTGTAGCCTACCACTTGACCCAAAAATCTGTCCTCATTTACACTGGCACAACTCCATCGAAGTCAATTGGGTTGCATTGGTGCAACAGAGAGAATTTGATGCACTGTGTTTACTAGAAGGACCAAGTATATGCAGGGAAGTTATAAATTGTTACCTGGAAACTGCTTGTGAGACTGTTAACAGGAAGAAGTGTTAACTACTCTATTACTGCACATCATGTCATCGCTGGCACTAATTCATCTGAGCAATAACTGAAATCAATGCGTATAACACACTGGGATCTGAAGGCAAAATTTGACCCTTGTTAGTTACTTTTTTCACTATATGACAGTCAGTTAAATTGCAGGGTGGATCTAAGCCTTCCAAATGGATTATATCAAGCTCCCCCGCACACACACCTCACTCTAAAAAATACAGTTAAACCCCTCACAGTAACCATGCCAATGTTTAAAGGAGACATTTAAAAGATATTAACTCTCAAATGGTACTTTCTCTGCATAATCAAATTTTCAGAAGGCTTTTGAGTGTGGGATTTTCAAAAGTGCCTCAATCAACAGGACTGGGCTCCTAAGTCACTGCAACACTTTTGAAAATCCTACTGCTGGTTGTCAATGAGACTTGAACCTATTTATGATGGATGCCAAGGTCTTGATCCTACAAGCCCTTGTCTGGTGCACAGCTGGCCACACAAGATTTTTATGCTCCCTTTGCAAGTATGAAAGGAAGCTCCACGTTGGCACAAGCAAGATTCAGCGCTAGATATAGTCCTCTGTGCTGAATGAATGTATGTTTGAAGACCTTTGTACGTCTGCTACCTTAAAATGGGAAGATGTGGGGGCAGAGAATAGGTGTGTCTGAGGATATAAAGGCTTAAGTGCACTCCCTCAGCATGCAAATGATATGCCTAGCTACATGTTCTCCTATGAGCCCCTCCTACTGCTACTAGGCAGGAGTAACCTAGCAGCCATAAAGCCACACTCTCATTCATGCAGGATCAGGCTCCCTTGCACTCCCTGGACTGTTTAGCACTTTTCCCCTTGTGCTTCTATCCACCGTATTCTGCCCCTGGCAGTGCAGGATTAAGTCCCAACAGAGTATTACAAGGAGGGTATTACAATTTTTTTTAAAAATCAATAAATCAGAGAAACATACCTACTCCCTTCCTGCAAGAGTGCAATAGCAATCCGGATCCGATTCCTCAGGAAGATCAGCATCAGTATGATGAAGACTTCCACAATACAAAGTATTATCACTGCAAGCACGAAAATTAAACTCCTCAAAAATCAAACCAACACGCTGCCTTTCTACATTGGTGGTTTCCACCTTGTACTTTACAATCCTGGTCATGAATGCCAAGAAACCCTATGCTAGAACATGCTTGCTCTCTCTGTGACTGCAAAGGCTGACTTTCAATCCCCATTTAATACATTCTTGAGAAATCCCACAGAAGCTGCTAGCCTTGACAGATGACATTAGTGTTTGTAATTTACAAAGGAAAGTGGAGCATTGCAATGTCAGACAGTTCACAAATATAGTCATCTATTTAAAAACATATGTCTGTAGCACTTAGCATAAAATATCATTTATCCTTAATGCACTCCATGAAAGTAAACTTTGGGTTATTCAGAAACAAGCATTTTTCAATGATTATACTATATTGCTGCTAATTTGTAGTCTCTGGACATAGGAAAAAGAATAAAACATAGATGGACATTCAGCCTTTTAATTAAGAGAGCTTGATTCTGATCTCCATTACACTGGTGTCATGCAGAAGTAATTCCATTGAAGTCAATGGCCCAGTTTTATACAGGGCAAGCCAGCATCTCAGCGAGATACAAGGAGAGAATAGGGACACATGGTACAACACTAGTATTCTCTAGGGGCATTACTTTAAAGAGATTCACCTCAGCAACATGTGGTGAGTGGCCCCCATTAGTTCACTGTCCCAGACATGCAGGTAAACAGAGACACAGCACATAGGTTTTGTGCAGCAGACTACAGCTTTGTTAAATCATCTTTACAATGGGGTCAATGGTACCCCAAGCCCTAGCAGGCAAAGCAAGAGTCCAATATGGGAGGACATAGCCTTATGCCAAAACCACAAAACCTGGAGTCAGGGAGGTAAGGGAGACAGTGCCTAAATCATCCCTGGTATCCAGTCAGTTGATGAGATCTCCTATCATCCCCCTGGCTCAAAGGCATGAGAGCAGAGATGGGAAATGCCTCAATCTGCACTAGACCTAAGAGACCTCCCCTAGTTTGGCCAGCAGATACTCGAGTCCTGTGCTTATGTTTACCCCCGGAGATACCTCACGCTTGACACTGACCACAAAGCTGCAACACCATAAATGCTGTGCCCACCAAACCAGGCCTCCCGCATGCTGTGAGGAAGTTAAAAAAAAAAACCATCTTTTTTGGGTCACCCAATTTTATCCAGAGGAAAAATTATTTCCCATGAGGGCTGATCTGGCTAGGCCCACAGCATGCAGGAGACCCAGTTCTACAAACCTTAGGCCCCAATAACTCCCAAAGAGTGGGTGTTGCTTGGGCAGTTGCCAGTGGGGGTGGAGTGCAGCTGACCAATCATGGTCAGCCACCTCTCCTGAACTGGCCAGTCATGCAGACAATGGCCCATTCGGTCCCCATCTAACACCCTATCCCTTCCTCCCTTCACACTGCATGTGGTGCCCATACAGAAGGAATGGTACATGGATGGATGGGGAAAGGCAAATCCCCTCTCCCCTGCAACCTGGCCAGGACCCCAGGGAGTGTCTTGCTCTCTGCTAATCAAGTCAAACCCTTCTCCCTCACCACCACCAAGAGGGGGGGAGGGATAGCTCAGTGGTTTGAGCATTGGCCTGCTAAACCCAACTCAATAAGAGTGGTGTTCTACCAGTTGTGCATGTTTTCCACATTTGTTAGTAATGTGAATGGACCAAATTCTAGGCCAGATAAACTAGTAATCCTGAAAACTGCACAATATAATAAAAACCTTCACTGCACTGAGATCCCAGAAACTTATCTAAAGGAAGATATTTGTTCAGCATCTGTAACAAGGGGTACTTCATAGGTTGCACCAACCAGCTGATGATTCGTTCTCCTGGTTAAGCATTAACAGAGACTAATTTTAAAAGGCACTTACTAAATGCTAACCATGTTTGCCTCAGCTGCAGGTATACTCTGAAGTCAGTCTGGAAGCCAATATCATAGATCGTGAGGTCAGATCCAGGTGTCCCCTGAAGATGATCATACTCCCAGTAACAATGCCAGATACCTTTGGAAAAACAAACCAATAAGAGCTGAGTGTTTCTGAAGAGTCTGTAAACATGAATGAGCCTTTGGTTTTTTTGCCTTCAACATGCCATACAGGTAAAAACTACAGGTGATCATAAGACTAGTGGCTTATAAACCTACACGAACAAAAAAGAAATCATGGTGCAAATACAGAAGGCCTAATCCTGCAAGTGCTTACATGTGGGTGTACACGTGGTGGTAAACGTTTGCAAGATCGAGGCCATAGTATAAGTTTCTTTAAAGAAAAAAACCCTCAATACCCTGTCAAACCTATGCAATATTTCACCTGATTATTACAGATTTCCTTGTACAAACATCAGCAGTAAGAACAAAATCTCTCTGCAGTTCCTCATTAGAGAGTGTAGGAGCTAACACCTACCATATCCTATAATTCCAATCACGCCAAGGATGAAAATCCAGAAGAGGACCCCCGCTGTGAACCTCAGGAGCACAAGGAAGAGCAGGCTCACAACCATTGCAATGAACAGACCACTGGAAAGACAGGAGGCGACATGAATATAAAGGAAACAGGCATGAGCATCCCTCCTCCTTGCGCATACTGCAAAAGGAGGGCCACTCTTTCACACAATACAGAATGACAGGTCTAAAATTTTATTCCAAACCTCCTTTTGAAAGTCTAATGAGTGGTGAGTGTTTTAAAGTTTGGATACCATCAACTACTGGAAACCAGTCTGTTGGGCTATAAGTTTCTAGGCAGTCTGATTGCATTTCATAGCCACATTTATAAATGATGGGCCAGCTCCTTAGCTGGTGTAAACTGGTATAGCTTCATTGCTGTGACTGTGCTGATTTACACCAGCTGAGGTTCTGAGACAGTGATGTCTTCAGGCCGTGGCTAGGCAAGGGTAGAGAAGTGTCAAACTGGAAGGAGGTGTACATGTGTGGTTAGTTCAATTTTGGTTCTTAAATAAGAACATTATTTTAAAAAGTAGATAGGAACTTTGAATTTGAGAATAAAACACTTTCCTTTCTATCCTTCCAAACAAGTCATGTGCAGTGCATCGGAGTTGGGAAGAAAACGTGCATTAAAAAGAAAGAGAGAAAAGCTGACATTGGCAATGACCTACCAGCAGTGCAATTGGGGAAAAAACAGCTACCCAGTGAGTGTCTTCCTTTAGCCTACTCAAATCAGTGGTAAGGCAGTGTGAATTCTGGTTTCATTCCCAGCATGCAAGTCACAAAGAAAAAAACAACAAGGATGGCTGTGTAAACTCTTTACACACACACAGGTATCTGAGTGTACAGCCATAGGAGATAACAGCCAGACTCCTCTCACATAAAATCCCAACACACAGTCAAGTGGGACACACCACTAAAATATTTCTTTTCTTGATGATGTTAGCAGAGGTCCAAAACAAAATAAATGATTATGAACCCTGGACTTTGAAGACATACCCACTGAAATACAAAATCCATAACCATTAATTTAGAGTTTGTTTAGTGATCGCTCTCTGAAATGTCCCCCTTACCTAGCTGGTTATCAAAGAGGTGAGACTGATCAGACTCAGGACCACATGACTGTGATGGGTAAGACATCTCTTTGGGCTTGTAAACCTTACAACTGTGCAGCAGACAGTGAAAAAGAAAGAGCCACAGCTTGCTTTGGAGATCTCTTCACCATAACCTGCACAAGACATTCATAAATCTCCTCTCTGCCCTGTGTGGTTACTCCCTTTCCAAAATTCATTCAAGGACATCTCCTGCTTTCTCACTGAATGGTTCATCATTCAAAACTTTCCTCCTCAAAAACAGCTGGACTATTTGGAGGTTGGGGCCCTGATTCAGGAAAACACTTAAGTACATGCTTAACCTAAGTACATGCTTACTAGTTTCACTGTCTTAACTAGTACTCATGCATGTGGCTGAAATGAATCACATTCTTCAGAGCTGCTGTGAATAGACATGCTTTGGGGTCTGAGAACTGAAAGCTGCAGATCTTCCTGGGTATTGTGGAAAGGCAGGAGTCTCTCCATAGTTAAGGTTGTAACCAACTGGCTTCCACTATAAAACCCTACAGTATCATACCCATAACTTTGGCCTGGAAACTGCATTCTGTTTGGAAACTACCAGACTTACTCTGAAAACGAAGGAGGAAGTTTTGATAAAGTACGAAGAAAATCCATCCAATAGTTTCAACAGTACAGATCATTCTGAAAAATGACCATATTAGAAACTTTGACTTTTGCGTAACGTTACTTTGTCTCCCTCTAGCTTCAAATTTCCTGTATAGTTAAGTCTCCTTGTAAACTCATGGCCCAGCTATTGATGTAGAAAATAAATTCATGATTTTAGGTGTGGATAATTTTGTACCCAATCTTGCTCCCATTTATTTCAGTGGGAGTTATGGACCCAATCCTGCCCCTACTGACATCAGTGGGGGTTTCTTGCCATTGGCGTCAGCAGGAGCAGAATCAAGCACTATGAGTATGTGAGGAAGTTGCCCTCTATTGGTTGGGGCAGTGTAGAAAGAAGCTTAGAGTATGTCTACATAGCAATTACACACCCATGGCTGGCCCAGGTCAGCTGACTCAGGCTCATGGAGCTTGGGCTGCGGGGCTTAAAATTGCAGTGTAGATATTCGGCTCGGGCTGGACCCTGAGCTCTGGGACCCCATGCAGGGGTGGAGGAGGGTCCCAGAGCTTGGGACCTAGCCCAAACATCTACACCCCAATTTTATAGCCCCACAACCAGAGTCAGCTGACCCAGGCCAGCCACAGGTGTTTAACTACTGTGCAGACATACCTTAAGGCACCTTCTATAGCTGGAAAATGTGTTCAGTCTGAAAACTGCGAGATCTATTCTGAAACCAAACAAGGAAGTTTTGGCAAAGTATAAAGAAAATTCATCCAACAGTTTCCGAAGTATGGATCATTCTGAAAAATGAGTACACTTATCAGTATATTTATCAACTGACTGTAGAAACTACTTGTAATTGCTGTTCTTAGAATAATCTAGTATATGTAGTATGTTATCAGAAGTATATAACAGTTCTTAACACAAATATCTGTCCATAGTACTGCATTCAAGCCTGACAAGTTGTCATTAATATGCACATTATATAGACACCAATCCTGCAAAGACTCCCACGTGTTTAACCTTCCATGCTGTGAGTAGTTCCATTGACTTCCTTGTTGTTGGCTTAAGGTTAAGCATGTGCTTGAGTTTTCAGCTTCAGAGTCAATCTTTTTACTTTAACATTTTAGTGTTCAATTTATATTGCGAGATTAAAACAGGAAGAATTTATTTCAGGTGCAAATTAAGAGTTGATAAACTGTGCATTTCTTTTATGCAATACATTCACCTACTATGTTAGCAGTGTAAGATTTATGATGGCCTTAACTATTCATTTGCTTTGTTTTGTAAATGACATGACAGGTAACTACCCTGCTGTCGCTTAGCAAACTAAACTGTTTTTTTACATAAGGATTCTTGGGTTTGGAATAACAAAACAGATGGGCCATGAAGAGAGAGAAGAACCCACATCAATGTTGTGTGTGGGAAGATGCCCACATCTCTTGTAGATCTACCACAGACTGATGTCAGGCTGTAGTTATGGATGACATAGCAGGATACTGGATTAGCCTCACATCGTGTATAAGATCTATGAAAAGTGCATGATAGAAGTATGTGATAAGAGGAGACTCTTGGAGTTTAATAGTAGGATGTCAGACATACACATAAATTAATAGTTTCTTCTCCATTCACACCTGGGAAGATACAAAGTGTGGGAGCCAGCAATATCTGTAAATAAACTTACATTAAAATCCAATGCCAGGAACTGGCATAGTCTTCAAAAATTTTCATCCCAACTGATCTTGCATCAAGGACATTATTGATACCACTTAAACAAAACAGAAAAAAAGTTTGGTTTATATGGGATACTACAGATCTTACTTAAGCAGCAAATAGGTCCTTAATGTACTAACAAAATATAAGTTATGCCACAAAGCATTTTTAGAACATGCCTTTATTTGTAGCATTTGGTTTTTCAGCAAAACAGAGTTTGAAATGTCATTGCCAGTAATAAAGTTACAATACAATGCTGTAGCTCAGGTTTTGCGCACAAATGAACATCAGTTACAGTAATATTAAGGCAAGGAAATTCCACTGAGGGTGAAAGGCCCCCCAAACTGTTAACACTTGTCCAGCTCTGGAAAAAAAATATAATAAAAAACTCTAAATAATATTAGTATCACAAGACGCAATCACTTATTACATCACAAAAATATAGTCAGCTGGTAGTAAGATCTGCCATAAACCCCCAGAATCCATACAAATAATGGCTCTAACATTACCAGTACCAAAGCCACAAAAAAAACCTGCATAGCGAACAGTAAAACAATAGCCTGCCCATAGGGGAGGTTTTTTCCTAACCCCAGAATAGTTGCCAACATTAAAACATTTTCCTAGCACAATGCTAGGAAGAAATAAAGCTAGGGCTTTATGATAGCTGGGGACAGCTGGAGTAGGGGGCTTGATAAATTGTGGGGTCTGGAGTCAGCATTGGTGAGGCAAGAGAGGGGGCATTGGTACGTTTGAGGGAAGGGAAGGGAAGGGGGGATGCCCTCTGGTCCCAGTCTGAATGGGGACTTGATGGAGGCTAGAGAAGCTACTCTGGGCCAGCAGTTCCCTCTCCTCCTGGCTCAGGCCCAGCGGAAATGCTAGTTTTTTTATCTGGAGTGGCTTGAGAGGTTCCCACATGCCACCAGTCCCACAACATTGGCTAGGATACCCACTCCTCGGGACAGGTATTCAAAACCAGAGAGCAGATCTTCAGCTGGTGTAAACTGTCATAGCTCCATTGATGTCAGTGAAGATGTGCTCCCAGAACTGTTGGCAGGGGTACCCTTAGTGGGTGGCTTGTCCCCTGAAGCATTAGAATTTATACTCGTTGCTTTGTGTGAAGCTAACCTTTCACAGAGAGAACTAATCAAATAACAAAACCAAGCTGACAATCAGTCACAAACAACACACCTCCAAATTACATGGAAAAGCACTCTACAAAAAAAATCCTTTGCTAGTTTCCTGGTATAGAATTTTAAAAGCACTGAAGTACAGATCTGTCACTTCATTACAATGGGTACGTCTATACTTACCTCCGGGTCCGGCGGTAAGCAATTGATCTTCTGGGATCGATTTATCGCGTCTTGTCTAGACGCGATAAATCGATCCCGGAAGTGCTCGCCGTCAACGCCGGTACTCCTGCTTCGCGAGAGGAGTATGCGGAGTCGACGGAGGAGCCTGCCTGCCGCGTCTGGACCCGCGGTAAGTTCGAACTAAGGTACTTCGACTTCAGCTATGTTATTAAAGTAGCTGAAGTTGCGTATCTTAGTTCGAAGTGGGGGGTTAGTGTGGACCAGGCCAATGTCTCAGTTGGTTAATGTCAGTCATTTGCTATAACTGATTGTGATTTCTTTTCTACCTATACATTAATTTATTGACCCGGAACATACACAAAAGGTATCACACAAAAGAAAAGCACAAGAGGAAGGAAAAACCTACTTTGCAGCTTCCCTGAGATCAGTTACATTTCTTGTTTTCCCTCTTCCATCTTTGAATGTCGTCTGATTTGCCACTGTCAGAATCCCATTCTTCGTGGAGAAGTCAGGAAAGCATCTTTTAAGAACTGTTAAGTAATGCAAAAGGTGGGTAATAACATACATTTATTTATTATCAAACTCCACTTTAAAATTATGTTTTTTGGCCATCAAATTCGTGCTTAGCTGTGTGTAAATCATTTCAGATCGGTAGTGAGGTCCAGATCCATAAAGGTATTCAGTCACCTAAACCCCAGACCTAGGTGCCTATGTCCCAGTTTTAGGCACCACTGCAATCCAAAAAATCCCCACTTGGCTGCTGCTTAACCTTGTAGCCTACACTCACTTAGCTCCTAAATTTTCATTGTAAAAGTCCTTCTGTGTCTAAATTTCTGCCTCTGGTCATGCGCACTGTCATCTCCCTGTAGGTGTCCAGACACCTATCTCCCACCTAAGCCCCAGCACAATCCAGTAAAGGTAGGCACTACCCTACCTATCTCACCTTGGGGGCCCAGTGTGCTCAGAGGCCATCTACCAGATCAGGCCAGAGGAGGAGCAGGTGGTGATGCTGCTATTGCTGCCCATGCCATGACTTCTAGCCCAGAGGTTAGAGCACTCACCTGGGATGTGGGAGACCCAGGTTAAATTCCCACAGCTGCCTGATGTGAAGAAAGGATTTGAAGAGGGATCAGAAAAGTGCTCTAACTACTCAGGTAAGCAGTATTCTGATGTGGGGCTTTCTCAGTCTCCTCTTGAAGCTGTTCCATTATGGCTAAATAATTAAACACTTCTGTAACTGAGATTAGCACTGGAACCCAGTGTATGTATTCAGAGACACAATGCTCCTTTTTTACCTCTCAGCCCTGCAGAGCCTGTACAGCTATAGAAGGTTAGATCCTAATTGGACTCATCTAAACTCCAAATACAGGGCCATGTTATGCCCTTACTGCAGCTATGCCGTTAACCAAAGACAATAGGGTTGCTTGCCCTCATGCTTCTGAAGGTGTAATTTAGTCTGCAGAGTCCTCATTACTGGGGATGATTCATGAGGCAGAAAGAACCCAGCTTGACTTGATCCCAGATTGAGTTTTCACAGCTGGAAGTTTGAAAAAAACATCTTTATACTTTTACATGGTGTAACATTGATTTGGCCGTCACTGACAGTCAATGCAGAGCCCCATCATGACAACGTCAGGATCTCCTTTCAGAGTGGAGCTGCACTTTAATAACATACACACCAATCCTCTGCTGAGACATGTGCAAAAAGTATAACTACTCACAAGGCCTGCTAGGAATGATCATCGAAGGGCAATCTTCATCACGGATCACTTGAGCAACAGACTAAAAGAAAATAAACCCAAAGAGGAATTGGGGAATACAATTCAGAACAAATAAAACCCGCTCAATCTGAGAAATCTTTACAATCAAGAAAATGTCCCATTTCCCCTCATTTGTATCTTAATCTCTTGGCATGATTTGACTGGTGCATCTGCCTGACACTCACAGGATGGAAGCAAGAGACCTAAGCATCCCTGGACAGTCATGGATGAGGAATAAAATATGCTTCTGGCTTTTCTAATGGTAATAAGATAAAAACAGAAGGCAACAGACCTGCCTACGAACCAGTGGTGTTTGGGCAGGTGTTTTTGTCTCTCATAGAAAAAAAAGTTTGTTATAACATAATTAGTACATTTAACTTCAGGCTGATGTTAGAGTTGCAAGTGTTTTTATTGTGGGAGGAATATTAAGGTATGTTCAAATGCAAACCCATGGTATTTCAAAATGGTCATCTTATTGCAAAGCTGGAGTAATTCCCTGGCTAAAAAAAATTGAGTGAGAAGCTGCAGGTGACGTACTACAATGCCTGCTGATTCAGATATAAAACTCTCTAGGATGAAGGGGAACTTGTTAGTACTAGTCTGAGCTCTCCTTCTCCACTGTGGATCAGTGCAGCCTAAACCTATATACTGGAGAAAATTGGCTTCTCTGGGTACATCTATACTGTAATGTAAGTTCGGGCTTAGAGTCAGGCTTAAGCCCAACCCCCTCTTCCGTCTACACACAAATCTGTCAGCCTCAGGCTCGGACCAAGTGTCTTAAGACCCGGTGGGGGAGGAGGGATCAAGCCCAGTCAAGCCAGGACCCAGAGTTTGACCCCTTTTGCTTTGCAGTATAGATGCAGCCCCCCCGACCCAGGTCCTGGGAGTCTGCCAAAAGTATCCCACAATGTCATGGACCAACTTCCTTTCTCCTCTATCCCAAGAATCTCCAGTGGACTCCAGTGAAAATAGAAGCAACCCCCCGCCCCCCTTGGTGCACTCCTGCAGGTTGGTGAGTCAGCGTTAACCCTTCCATCCACTTCTGACCAGCAAGCTGCAATCACGCCATTGGAAAGCCTTCTATGCTTGCAATGGAGACCGAACAGAAACAGCCTTTTGCACAGCACACTGCTTTATGGTCACAGGAGCACGGCCAGATTTTGGTAAGTCTCTGCTGAGAGTCCAGCACAACAGTGGGCATTAGTAAGAGTACCAGGAATGATCAGACATACCGGCAAAGAAACTGGCATTGTAGCAACTTTACTGCACTAGTGACCAGTGCACGGAGTGGACTGAGTGGCTCAAGACAGAGTACGGGAAAATCAGGGACCAGAACTGCACCTCGGGCAACTCGTCAACATCATGCCCATTTTATGAGGAGTTGGACCAGGTGCTGGGCACTGCTCTGAGCACGGAGCCAACGGTGGTGCACGATGACCCGGTCAGCTGGGATGGCTGATGGGGACTGATGGGAGCCAGCAGCAGGTGCTGAGTGAGGACAGTGAAGTCTGTTGCTGAAACCAGCCCCAAAAGAGGTTTTGGAGCTGGAACCGCTGCACACCCTGGGGCCAAACTCTGGAGCTGCTTGATGCCCCCGCCACCGACAAACAGCCCATTGCACAGCATGCACCAGACACAGAAGCTGTCCCTGAGCGCAGTGAGTTTCTGGCTCCATTTTAATTTTATTAATACAGTAATAAGAGGAATTTCCATTCTATGAACCAACACAAAAACTATTGGACGTAAGTCACATAACGGCTAGCAACATGTATCCTGCTAATGGCGGATTGTATGGCAGCAGCTTGTCCACTCCATTTCAATTAGAGACAGTCCATGCAGTCCATAGGTGACAAAATCAATTGTGCCAAATTCAACTTGGATTTGAATTTTTGTCCAGAAACGTGCCGGGGGCAGAGGAGGAAGGCTGTTAAGTTGTGTGTGTTTGCATGCAGCCATAACAGGGTAAGCCATGTGGAAGCTGACACAGCATCCTACTGATTCCCTCATGGATTCTGACCCACATTGACATTCATAAATTAATCTCTGTGGTCCAGAGGGTCTGTATAACAATGGAGTGGTACCCTTTGTGGTTTATGTATTCATGCTCCTTAAGGATGGCAACCTATGGGCACATAAGTCCCATCAATGGTCCCAGCACAATTAGGAAACCCCATTCTCTCTAAGGCTAGGTCTACACTACAGCGGGGGTCCGACCTAAGATACGCAACTTCAGCTACGTGAATACCGTAGCTGAAGTTGCGTATTTTAGGTCGGCTTACCTGGCGGTGAGGACGGGGGAAAGCCGACCGCTGCCGCGCTGCCGCCGACTCCGCTGCCGCCTCTTGCCGAGGTGGATTTCCGGAGTCGACGGCAGAGCGATCAGGGATTGATTTTACCGCGTCCTCACGAGACGCGGTAAGTCGATCCCCAATAGACCGATTGCTACCCGCCGGATCGGCGGGTAGTGAAGACATACCCTTAGCCAGCAGTTACTTCAGGAATATCTTTTATGCCTGCCACTTTGGGGTAAACCACATGCCTGACTGCCTCAGAAACCTCTGCCACCACTTTATCCACAGTCGACTTTCCAACGCCAAACTGGCTGGAAACCAACCTGTAGCAGTCTGGGTTAGCCAGCTTCCAGCCAGTTATAGCAACCAGCTTCCAGACAGGCTGACCTCATGCAGGTGTCTTTATGCTGGGGTCTTGGGGCAAGCTGCCCACTAAGCTCCAGAAAGGTAGCTTTCCTCATGTGAAAATTCTGGATTCATTACTGATCATCCCAGGTCTGCATGATGATGTGATCCCACCAGTCTGTGCTTGTGGCCCTGTGCCAGAAGTGCTGGTCTACGTAGAGCAGGGGTAAGCAACCTATGGCACGTGTGCCAAAGGTGGCACGCAAGCTTATTTTCAGTGGCACTCACACTGCCCGGGTTCTGGCCACCAGTCCGGGGGGCTCTGCATTTTAATTTAATTTTAAATTAAGCTTCTTAAACATTTTAAAAACCTTATTTACTTTACATACAACAGTAGTTTAGTTATATATTATATACTTATAGAAAGAGACCTTCTAAAAACGTTAAAATGTATTACTGGCACGCGAAACCTTAAATTAGAGTGAATAAACGAAGACTCGACACACCACTTCTGAAAGGTTGCCGACCCCTCACATAGACGTTATCAGTGGCTATACTGAGTGTACTGAGCAGCATCAGCCAGTGTGAGTCTACCATGCCTGGGTATCCTCCTCCTCCTGCTGCTCCACTATAAGCTCTGTCAGGTGCCTTTGGTGGGTCAGAAAATGCCACCAAAGTGTCCATCAGCATCTCACAGAAGCTCTGCCTGTTTTCTGACACGAGAGCGAAAGTGCAAGCAAGAGAATTTCTTGAAAATGTGTCTCCTCCATGTTGCTGGCTCCATACCTGGGCGCACACACACCAAAAAGACAGCTAGGAAGGATGTGTTGGCGGACTGTTCAAACTTGCTGTAATGTGCAAGGTGGACAGTTCACCATGGTCAAAGGACTAGAGCGGCCAAATTTTGGGAGGGCGCTAGGGAGTCTGGTATATGCATGGTTTGACTCAGGTCTGTGCACTGGAGTGTGGATGCCAGAGCCACAGGTTTAAGCCCAAATTGGAAAATTCTTAATGTAGGGTTAACAGTCAGTGTAGATGTTCAAGCCCTGGGTTCTCCAAACTAGGGTCAGCTGACTTGAGTCCCACAAATCCTGGGCTTACACTGCAGTGTAGACATACCCTATAGAACCAAAAATCCACAGCATGGAAGTCTGCAGATATTTTCCATTGAACTGAGCCTTTGGTAATCACTTAAAGATTTGGGGATTTTGTCTGGCTAGCAGATCTTAACTCTTGACAAACTCAGAGCTGAAATACACTTACAGAAGAGCTCCTCGGTTGAGATGATTTGGCACAGCTCCATTGATTTTGATGGAGTTAGACTGATTTATGCACACTAAGGCTCATCTATAGTTTAAATGTATCCCATCTATACTTATGTATGTATATATACGCACCTTCAAAGGCTTATTAAAACCAGGTTTGCAGAACTGCCTGTAGTACTCCCAATAACTTTTGTTATGTCTGTAGGAAGCTTGCATGTCTATGTACGTTGCAAACCTGTCTGGGCACTTTGAGACACAAAGCTGTAAGGAAGGAATAAATGCATAATTATAAATTGGAAAAAAACAAAACAAAAAGCAAACAAAAACCCTCCCAAAACAACCCACTCATGCTATCAAAACAGCAAGACAAAAAAATGGCCATCTATAAAAGTGCCCTGTTTTATCAGATTGCCTGGAGCAATGCTTATTGTAGCATTTAGAAAGGGACAGTGTCTATTGTTAGAATCTCTAGATAAACACTTTTTAGTGCTTTTGATAGACCTTTTCAAATCTCTCCCCAAGTTCTGTATCTCCCAATCGCTCTGCCTCCATATGTCTTGGTGGTCTCCATACATTCTGATACACATGTACAGTTTTAAGTTTGTTTTTTAAAACTTTTTATTGAACATACACACGAAAAAAATCCCCAGAAAGGCCTTGATCTAACCCCCTAAGCACAGACAGCTGTGTATATGAATATGCTGGTGCAGCAGCACAAGACATGTGGCATGGCACAAGACCACTGTGATCAATAAAATCTGATGAAGCTAAAAATTGCTTCACCCTCTTATACAGTAGTTTCAGTCAAACCCGCTTTCAATGATGCTGGCTTTACATGCCTCTAAGGAGGTGTACCAAATTAAGACAGTAAATTGCCCTTTACCCATGACAGAGTTCCCGCTGGTGTCAAAGCAAGTCAGGTGCACATGCCAAGGGCGAAATTCACATCTCCCCAACTAAAGCCAAAGTAAGCAAGATGTGTGTGAGAAACTAAGAGCTGGGAATGACTGGATCCACCCACAGGTAGGCTGCTATTCAGATGCATGTATGAAGTAGTGACTGCTGCTCCAGCACACACTCTAAGCCGGACTTCCTGATCACTGGGTCCATGATCATGTTCTGCCCTCCTCAATGTTCCTGTGAGCCCGCCTCTGTGGCATAGAGTGGCTTTAGAGAGGCTGCACCCCCTGCAAAGCTACCCAGTCTGGACCCCCTCCTCCTCAGAGACTTACCATAGAAGGAAGTGAATTTCCCCTCAAGGGCATAGCGTACAAGTGCCCTAAGTCATTTTTTCACATTATGAACGGGAATGTCCATACCAGAAAGGGATCTTATACAATAGGCTAGAACCTGGTGGGTGCAAGAGTCTAGTGGACTAGCCTTGGATCAGGGAATGAGGAAATTTGAATTCTATCCTTGTTCGGACAATGAATCGCTGTCTGCACATCACTTATTATAACTTCACTTTCCCCATCTGTAAAACTGGCACTGATATTTGCCACGCATTAGTGTTGCAAAGCAACATTTAAACATTGTCTGTACAGGCCTCTAAAATCCATAGTATTAGCAAGGCCTGTCAGTGGCAGCAGAAGTAGGTACAGAACTCAGGCCCTCCCTGATTCTCAGGCCTGCGCTCACACATGTAAATGATCTGGCTTGGGGGACCACCACAACCTCCTCGAAAAGTCACAGTGTGACGTATTAAGCCCAAGTGGTTCTTCAGCATTTTCACAACAGCCAGAGAGTTAAAACCTTTAATCTGAATTATCATCCAAAGACTAGAAAATGTCGAAAACCCCCTCCAGTTTCACAGATCTGTTGTGAACCTGAAAATAGACAAATTAAAACACAACCTGTTTGTGACGAACATTCCACCTTGCTTGCCTCACAGTAGTGATTACTTTATTACAGCACAAGCCCTAATCCAAGAGTGCATTGCACAACAGCAATAGCATTGACCTATATATTTTTTAACATTATACAGTGTTCCCTGTAACATAAGAGACTGTGGCACAGTGAGGTAACAAAGTCAAGACCACAGCAGCACAAATCAACACAGAGATTCATTTAATATTCTACCAAAGTGACAGGACCAGACTATATTACTTGGTTTACACTAGGAATTTATGCTGGTGTAACTACATCGCTCAGGGATTTTCAACACCCCTGAGCAATGTAGTTATACCGACCTAATCCCCAGTGTAGACAGTGCTTGGGGAGGTGGAGTACCTACAGAAGCTCTCCCATCTGCATAGGTAACATCTTCACGAAGCGCTGCAGTGGCACAGCTGCAATGCTGTAAGTGTTGACAAGCGCTCAGCCTCTGTCTACACAAGCTATGTATGCCTCTCTTCTACTGGGATACTGATTAGTGAGCATTCAACAAGTGATTAGCCAAACCTAAGGGTTATTTAACATTAAACAATCGCGTTGACCACTACCAATTCCTCAGAAGGCATGTAACATGTCTGGACAAACGAACACTATTGTCGGTTGTAAACAAGAAAATATGCATTTTTTTAAACATGGCTGGTTTGGAAAAATCTGTGCGCCAGTCAAAATGATTTTCTGAAAAATGGCTATAATAATGTGCAGGAACTACATTGCTGCACAGTCACTCATGCTATATTCATGACGGACAATTAGCCAAACCCAGTCACACTCACATGGGGAATTTTTTCAACTCTAAATCCAAAACAAACAGTTCTATGCATTTCTATTTATTTTCTCCTGCCCCGTTAACAATAGACACTGAATCTGCTACACTGTACACTCAGATACATGCTATACACACACTGCACTCTACAATATGATCAAACTACATTCTATAAAATGCAACTAGTCGATCAAATGACTTCTGTCAAGTTTTAAGCAGCAATAAGCAAGAGGCAGTGAGAACGTTTTCTCCCTGTATTTCACTTACCTGTGTTGTAGGGCACTGTAGGTTTATTAGCACTATTGGGCTGGCACATTTCAGAATGTTAAAGTAAAACAAACTGGTCTTGTTCCTATAGAGAAATAGGAATAAAAATAACTATTTTAATATGTATAGATGTTTATATACTATGTTTATGACCATAGTACTCACATACCATATATGGATTTACAATGTACACTATCAATTTTAAATACTGTTATCCTAAAAGACTACTGCAAATCCCAGGTGAGAAATGAAAATCAAGCAGAAACTGAAGTGCCCAAGCTTAAATGTATGTTAAGTCAAACTGCTTTGTTTGATGAGTAGTCATTCTGAGGAGTGTTTTCCTGCACAGGAGCCTTAGCTGACATCCACTTGTTCTTCGAGATGGCCCAGAACCTGGCTCGAGAACTGGAAGGCTTGCGCTTTACATGGCAAACCACCTCTTCATGCTCTGTAGTTCACCTGCATACGCTGAACCTATTTTGTAGATACAGCATATGAAATTACTACTAGCACACAGCAAGCTGTACCAGCTGATGTTTTTGTGTTAATCAGAAGGTGGCACCAAAAATCAAACGAGTTTTTTGTTGCTCAAAACCTGAAGCAGCTGCCTGGGAAAACAGGAACACAGCACCTGAAAGGGACTTTCACAAACCCAAGTACTGGTCAGAAGTAAGGGGGAAACTGGGTGCATGATGGGGAAGGGAAGGGGAAATAGCCTTCTGACCCTTCACCCTTACGCCAGGGCCAGGCACAATGTGGCCAGGGCATGCAGCTACTGCAGTAGACTTGCATCAGCAGCAGTGGAGACTAGAGCTGGTTGGAACATCTTCATTCCAATGTGGAATGAAAACAAATTTTGAAGTCTCAGAAGTTGCTGTGAAATGGAATTGTCGCCCTGCGGTCAGCTCTAGTGGAGACCTCCTCAAAGGGAGCAGGTATGGACAAGGCCACGGTCCTGCCCCCTCCACACTAGGCAGCCAAGTTAGCTGGGTGCAAGAGGACTGCATGCTGCAGCCTTGCAAAACGTAAGGGCAAATCCCCTGCAGCGTGCGATTCCTCCAGAACCCCCATTGCAACACAGCTGCCTCCCACCCCACTGCATGGCTGTGCCTTCAAGGCCCACTCTGGCCCACAACATGTAAGTGTTGCAAACCATAACTCTCTGTGCAACTGGGAGTAGCTCATCTGGCCTGACATTTTAAAAGGTCAGGATGTTTTCACTCTCACACATTCAGTCACGTACTAGTTAAGGAAATAGTCATACACTCCTTGCAAATAAAACTCCCAATCCTTAGCTGTTATTTCTTCAAATCAACTGAGTAACATTTTGGGCTGAAATATCACTGCTCTGTAAGAGTTCCCTGGGAGTATGTACTCTTTGTGAGTGACTCAGCACAGCCCATGTCATTAACACATTATTTTACTCTCACATTGAGGTGTTCGATGGCTGCTGGCATTAACAGGAGACAATAAAGATTAATTGTATATGGCAGAGGAAAGTGGCCACACAGAGTTAGGTTTGCGTCCTTTAAAGTAAATTGTATTCTGTGCTTGCCTTTTGTTCTATATAAGGCAAAACAAACTTAGAGATTATATGGAGGAGATCAATGGGTGGATACAATGAGATGCAAAGGTGCAGAATTCCCCTAGAGGGATTCTGAAGGCAACACAAGGTGGAATTAATTTGACTGTACGGAACTCATTGCAGCGCAATTGTTTTTTCAGATATCTATAGATCCAGGCCTGGTTTTACATTTCACGGTTTCTGAAATACGACTTTCCCCACAAATATTACGGGTATGTTTGAAGCTATTAATATAGGCGCAAGAGTCACAATAAAGAGATGCCACCACCCTCCACAGGAAACCGGCACGTAGGTGTCAAAGCCCGTTTTGGAGGCCCACAAACCCACAGTCCCAGGTCTGCAAACCCCATCCCCCATGGGGCTATGTGGGAACTATCAGTGGGAACAATGAAGGCATTGCAGGACCCCTTTGACAGCTTTTCATTAGGGATGAAAGTTTATCAGGGATTCCCCTTACTTACTCATGCTTGACACTACAGCTGTACAGGACTGGTCTTTGGGGCTTGTGAAGCACCTAGCCAAATCCTCTCCACCTCAGAGTTTTAGGAGTCAAGAAGAGCTGGTCTGTGGTTGTTTAGAGGGGCTCCCTGGGCTGCTTCTGATGCTAGGGCTGCCATAAGCTCTCTTGTGGCCACTGGCCAAATGTTCCTATGTCACTTCTGGCTTATCCATTTATAGCAATTCCCTCAACATGGAAACTGAGTGCCAATTCCCAGCCTCAGCAGCAATATCCCACCCCCCAACATCCCCAGCAAGGGAGGAGAGAGGGAAAGAGAATTTGTGTTTGTATGAACCAGGGAAAGGATGACATACGAGGGAGAAGTAAAGAGGAAGAGCCAAGTAACAGAGAGAGAGAAAATAAGTGAGCAACAGAGATAGAGAGACAGAACATGCACAATGGACAACAGAAAATGGGGTGAATGCAAAAGAATCCTTCTGCTTCCCCCAAGGGGTGGGAAGCCACCAGCCACCAATGTCACTACCTGTTTCCGCTTCTCCAAGCCCTGCCATCGTGTGTGTGTGTGTGTGTGTGTGTGTGTGTGTGTGTGTGTGTGTGTGTGTGTGTGTGTGTCCCCGTCCAAATCCTGCGGCCCTACTGCTTTGCACAGGCCCACGGAAGGCTTGGCTCCTGGTCCAGTTGCCTCTCCTGATCCCTGTAGGACTCTGACCTGGAGCAATTCCTCCTGACAATTCTGCCTCCCTATGCAGGGGAAGGTGGAACTTTTCCAGCCACTTCTCTGCAGCTCTCTCCAGCTCCATGCAGGAATCTGCAAGAGCAAGTGGCACAGACTGTTTCCAGACTTCTCCTCCGCTCCCTTCCCTGCCTGGGAGGGGACACCATCTTGGGTGTTCCTCCACACTACTCCCTATCTCCATGCAAGGGGCCTGGACACTTGCTTCCTCTGTTCCATCCCTGCAAGCTGAATGGGAAGAGGAATAAGAGGCAGCAGAAGAGTTGCATCAACTGTGTGCTTTTGGTTGCTGCTTGCATGGAACTGGATTTAATAACAGTGATAATGAAGTGAGGGGTGTTCAATGCAAACTTTAAAAAAAGGAAAAACTTTCCTGTAATGTGGTTTCATGGCTCCAGCTTCAGTTTTCATAGAAATAATGTTTCGACCCATATAGCTCTTTTCATCTGCAAGTACTTCACAGATACTAACAGATTAACTAATCCTTGCAGCTCCCCAGATGAGCTAGGAATTGCCACCCACATTTAAGAGATTGGAAAATAAAGTTGGGTTAAGACACAAGACCAAGGCCAAAGAGGGAGTCAGTGTCAGAGCTGTCTGTCCCCCAGACCTGAGCTCAGACCACACATCGCTCTCTCTAGTAGCATAAAGGCAGCAGGTAGCTAGCAGCAGACAGTGAGAGCTCATAGATAGAATCATAGAATATCAGGGCTGGAAGAGACCTCAGGAGGCCATCTAGTCCAACCCCCTGCTCAAAACAGGACCAAATTCCCAACTAAATCATCCCAGCCAGGGCTTTGTCAAGCCTGACCTTAAAAACCTCTAAGGATGGAGATTCCACCACCTCCCTAGGTAACCCATTCCAGTGCTTCACCACCCTCCTAGTGAAAAGTTTTTCCTAATATCTAACCTAAACCTCCCTCACTGCAACTTGAGACCATTACTCCTTGTTCTGTCATCTGGTACCACTGAGAACAGTCTAGACCCATCCTCTTTGGTTGGGGGTAGCTATCAAATCCCCCCTCATTCTTCTCTTCTGCAGACTAAACAATTCCAGTTCCTTCAGCCTCTCCTCATAAATCATGTGCTCCAGCCTCCTAATCATTTTTGTTGCCCTCCGCTGGACTCTTTCCAATTTTTCCACATCCTTCTTGTAGTGTGGGGACCAAAACTGGACACACTACTCCAGATGAGGCCTCACCAATGTCGAATAGAGGGGAATGATCACATCCCTCGATCTGCTGGCAATGCCCCTACTTATACAGCCCAAAATGCCGTTAGCCTTCTTGGCAACAAGGGCACACTGTCGACTCATATCCAGTTTCTCGTCCACTGTAACCCCTAGGTCCTTTTCTGCCGCACTGCTGCCTAGCCTAGTCTGTAGCAGTGCATGGGATTCTTCCGTCCTAAGTGCAGGACTCTGCACTTGTCCTTGTTGAACCTCATCAGGTTTCTTTTGGCCTAATCCTCTAATTTGTCTAGGATGGATCTCTTTGCACTTAATGGCACAAGCCATACTTTATAATAGTATTTTACTATTCACAGTCTCCATACTATGCAAACAGCTGCATTACAGAAATAACTCAGGTCTAAATTTCCACTGATCAACTGAGCTTTTCAGAAACCTTAACTGGAATAAATACAGTACGGTGGGGTGGAGGTTGCTTCTTCTGCAGCCTTCCAATTTAATTCCCAGGAGGCCGAGGGCTGATACCTCATTTCTCATGCATGCCTCATGAGAAATAAAGCCAGATGAATCCTCTGAGTACTCACTCATTTATGGTGTCCTTCTGGCCGCAGAACTGTCCATAGCTGTCAGTTGGATAGACCACCTTCCTGGGGTCACCATGCACCCAAGCTACAAATATATAAAGAGATAGACAGATCTTTTAACACCACATTCCAAGTGTCCAGCAGTAGCTTGCTAATAGTTCAAGTTCTCTAGCAATTAAAATGCACCATCTGTCATGTACTATTTTAACCTCTCCCAATAGCTACTGAAGAGAATTGATTTTCCTTAAACAGTAGATTTCTTAAGGAAAAAATAAAATAAAATATGGATGAATCAGTCAGACAGTAAAACATTTCTCTTTTTTTCCTTCAGGACACACACGTCTGGTATGTGGCCAAAATATGAGGTAATGCACTTAGAAAATAATGGTTATTAAAAGGAGAAAGAGGAGGCATTGCAAAAGCTTTGTTGGCTTAAAGCCACACTGTGCTATGGAGCTAAACCTCACAGACCAAACTGAGCCTTTGCTTATACCCACGACCCCACTGAAACGAATGGGGTTACATGGGTGTGCGAGAAGGCAAGATTTGGTGATGACAATCTAGCGGCTATCGAGTCACATTAACAAGGGATGCAACCCCCCATTTCAGGATATAAAACCACGTGCTCAGCTCTCAGCGCTGTAGCTGGCTATGCTGATTTGTTCAGTACATAGAAGTAGAGACACAACGAGTACAGAACGAGTACAGAACCTCAGCCTGAACTGGAGGATGCTGCTTCTATTCCTTCCTCAACTTCAGGCGAGGATTTCTTGCTCCTGAAAAATCTCATTTTCTCAAACTGCTTATTTCCGTTCCCATTCAGGATCTAGTACACCACTAGGAAAATCATCATTAGTATCATTTTTTTCTAAGCTACAGAGGTCAGACCTGACAAATCTTCACAACTCCCCAGTAAGCTCTGAATAATTTTGACTGCCCTTGACTATCACAATTTCTATCTATATCCTCCCCATAACAAAATAATCAGAACTTCACCTCACATTCTAAATATCACCTTACAAGTGCAGGATGGTGCCAGCATATTAGCCCACACAGTATGTCCTATACCCGTACATCCCTAGATCTGGCTTACTAATACAACTGCTGCAAAATGTGGTTGGATTTAGTTTTATTAACTGTGATAATTCTCCAGCCTTTTCTTTGCTCTGTAGTGTGTAGAGGAGGCTATAGCCATTATGATTATTTTTAGCCCCTAGTGTCCTCCTCTCAGAGTGTACACTGAATGTCAGAAGTCACTTTAGGCCCTGATCTATACAAATTACTTTGAACTTGTTCTTCTATAATTGCCCCACTTTTCTGTTGATTTTGTGTGCTAAATTTAGTCACACTAGAAATTAAATCTTCCTTAAGGTCATTGCAGTAGCAGGGGCACTTAGATACTACGGTGATGGGTGGAATGGAGAGAGAACCTCTGCAAATCACAGAACAGTAGATGTAATACTTATCCTTGCAGACTATGGGCTAGATCTGCAACATACCCTCCATTGACTAATATAGCTGTACCACTGCATACCAACTCAGAATTTGCCATGTTATCTTTCACCCTAAATGGTTTTATTTTTCTGGCACTCTTGGTTTCTGGATCTTATGTTAGTTTTTAATTCATTTTAATATGTCTCAATTACACCATGCTTTTTAGTTTGTAAAATAATCTGCTAGTTGGTCTCAAATATCTTCTAGACATTCAAATAAATTCTGTCTATTTTCTCCCTTATCTATTAAGGCCCATATTCTGCAATGTATGAAAATTCCTCACCTGTGAGAAGTCCCATTGACTTCACTCAGTAATGTAACCTATTAGACATGATCTTCCTTATATGAATCCATACAGTCAGTCTTTAGATATATGTAAATTTGGCTTATGAAATAATCTAAATGTTGAGTGAGTGGGCTATTTCTGTGTTCTATTGTATGCTTTCCTCCTTTGTGACTGTATGACAATGGGGAGTGTTCTTTAATATTTTCCTGCATCTCATGCAGTTAAAAGACAAGGCCAAATGGATCAGTTTCGCTGCTGACACCAAATGGGTTTAATCCCTTATTTGTATGCTCTTAGATGGGTTTTCTTATCAACCTTTCCACCGCCAAAAATTAGTTTTTAAAAGTATTTGAAAATTACTAAAAGAAACCATTTGTTCCCTTCTTGACTGTATTTCCCCTCACACTAGCATAGCAGAAGGCAGCATGAATAAAACCTGTCAAATCAGATTCAAAATAGTGCTGAGATTTCAGTAGCAAAACGTCTTCTGCAGGGTATAGATAATTATCTGCTACTGCCAACAATATTCCCTTCCTAGGTAGGATATTTTATCTACAATTATTTCCTCCCCCCACCCATCAATCACAATTAGGAAAAAAAGAAAAATTGCAGTATAACTTTGCTAATCATCCCAGAACACCATTTACACACAGAAAGCAACCCTCTCCCCACTGCTCAGCAAAGACCAGAGTGCTGTAAGGAGACTGCCTGTGATAGCAGGGACTGGATGAGAGTCCAGAAGTCTACACAGCAATGAAACAGCCCCGCAGCCCGAGCCTCACAAGCCTGAGTCGACTGGCATAGGCCAGACCACAGGTTTTTCTTTGCTGTGTAGACATATCCAGAATCTCCTGTGCCTAGTGGCCCATGAGGCAACCCATTTTCCCCACCACTGTCTGTCCAAAAGCAAAATGTTTGACTCCATCATAAATGGTCTCTATGATAGCAGCTCCCTTTTCAACCATCCTGCAACAGATCGTTCTTTGTTCTTCTTGCCTTAAGGCTCTTTCTTACTTTTACAAAGAATTGATTCATAGATTCCAAGGCCAGATCACCACTGTGATCATCTACCCTGACTTCCTGTATAACACGGGCCAGAGAACTTACCCCAAATAATTCCTAGAGCAGAGCTTTTAGACAAATATCCAGTCTTGATTTAAAAATTTCCAGTAATGGAGAATCCACCATAACCCCTGGTAAATTATTCCAATAGTTAATTACCCTTACTGTTAAAAATGTGCATCTTATTTCCAGTGTCAATTTTTCTAGCTTCAACTTCCAGCCACTGGATCATGTTGCACCTTTGTATGCTACAATGAAGAGACTATTATAAAATATTTCTTCTCCAGATAGGTGTTTATAAACTGTGATCAAGTCACCCACATTTGAGCTCTGTGAGTCTATTCCTTTAATCCTCGTGGCTCTTCTCTTAACCATCTCCACTTTATCAACATCCTTTTTGAATTGTGGACAGCAGAACTGGACACAGTAAGTCATCACAGAAGTGCCAAATATAGAGGTAAAATAACCTCTCTATTTCAACGTGAGATTCTCCTGTTTATGCATCCAAGGATTGCACCTTTTGGCCACAGTGCCACACTGGGAGCTCATGTTCAGCTGATTATCCACCACAACCCCCAAATCTTTTTCAAAGTCACTGTTTCCTAGGATAGAATCCCCCATCCTGTAAGCATGGCCTACATTTTTTGTTTCTAGTTGTATACATTTACATTTAGCTGTATCAAAACAGCTTATTGCTTGCTTGCATCCAGCTAACCAAGCAATCCGGAAGGCTCTGTATCAGTGACCTGTCCTCTTCATTATTTGTGACTCCCCCATTTTTTGTGTCATCTCCAAATTTCATCAGTGAGGATTTTATGTCTTCTAATTAAGCTTGCAGATGACAAAAATTGGATGCTTGTATGCACTGAAACATCATTGGCAATACAATTATATACAGATAAAGTACATTTTGTTATGTATCCTTACTGTTTTATCATTTCTCATTACTCATCATCCAATGCCCACTGAAGTCATTGGAATGACTCTCACTGGTTTCACTGGGTTTGGATTAGGCCATTAACTCACTAATTCTCCAAACGTGATCCTTTGCAATGGGCTTCCTGGGCATTAGTGGGAATTAGTGAGGTACAAGTGCTGGAACATTTTGTTCATACTTTTGTTTTTGTGAAGTATTCTGAACAGTATTTCCAGTCTTTGGGGACTCTTGTCCAGTTGCCTTCATCCAATTGCCCATACCTACTGATTCTTGGTTGTAGCTTTCCTACAAGCCTGAGGCCTCAGTCATATTGGGGCACTAAACCAGTGTCGGATGAACCTGGTTTAAAAAATATGGTAAACAAGCTTTTCTACGTCAACACTTGCTCTCGTCAACTTTACTGGAATCAAAACTGGGCCCCTTATCTAGAAAACAGCTTTAGAAAACAGATTTATCTGGGTTTGCTGTAAAATTGGTTTCCTTTAGTTTGAAATCACATCTGCTGGGGAAAGTACATCTCAACTAATTTTCAGAGAGAAACCGAGAAGAATTGGTCCATTATAGAGGATGGAGATTTAGCATTTGATTAATATTGCAGCAGAAAACAGGAGAGTAAAAACAACTACTACTTTCTTTGTGAGTTAGAACAATGTTGGGAAAAGAATCCCATATGATAAATATCCTATTCAGTGTAGAATTGTACCTAAATCAGCAGCCTCCATTGACAGTGGAAGGTTATTATCATGATTAGCCTCAAAGAGTAGTGTTTGAGTCTTTGTTTCACTGCCCTATTGGTGACCCAATATCAAGTACTAAATGAAACTGAATCCAAGTATATAGAACTTTCATGCCAGCAAAAGGTTGTGCGTGGTCTGATGCTTGTAAAATCACAGTTTGAATGTTGGCATACACAGCTGGGCTGAAACAAATACATCAACCAACCCAGCTGAGTCAGCCGTCAGTGTAGCAGTGGGGCAGCATATAACACAGGCAAAGCAGTTGACAGACAGGGATCCACATTCGGGATGGCTGAAGTTATGTCATTATCCTGTCACTGATGTACACAAGTATGATATCAGAAATGGCTAATGTCTATCATTTTAAATGTTTATCAAATACATTTTTATTTTTATTTTTTTGCTGTATGGTTGAGCCAGTGGATGCAAATACTGGAAAACTCCTTGTCAAGGAGAAACTGTGATTAGAACAACAGCTTCCACTGACACTTAAAAAATAACTGCAAATCTGTTTAGCTTATCTGAGTCATTCCCTCAACAGTGTGCTTCTTGGGAATACAGGCTTTCAT